TACTTACGAACCTGTAAATCTTTTCTCGATCTTTCGCGGCTTTGTTTACATTGACTGAACATATTACAAGCATCGAAAATATCCACAATGATATATTATTGTTATAAAGCAACCCGTCCTCAGTCTATGTTCATTCCAACCAACGTTCGACCCCAAAGAGACGCATTCATAAATTGTAACATGTTCATTCAAAATAGGAATTTTCTCAATTATAAATTAGTATTAATATATATTAGCATATTGTGCACATTTAGACGCAGGCTAAGCTAAGTTAGGTGTTTAGGTTCTGTTGGCGATTATTTGTATTTGTAGTACGTGGGTGAAACATTTATAGCGTTGTGGTTCGATCAAAAGTCGTCAGCGAAGCACTGTTTGAGAAATGTTCGAACGTCATCAGTTGTGAGTCGTGTGTGTAAATCATTTTTCATTCATAAACAGGAGGGTTTAGCAGGTGCATGAAATCACTTTTGATCTTTATTTATGAGGATGGGCTGTATAAAGAGCCTCCAAATGCTGCAGATTCCATGTAAATATAAACAAGTCGCCAAAGATTGAGAAAATATGTATAGGTTTGTAGGTAGTTGCGTAACTGCTTGATGAATCCAGCCCGTGGGCCGGCCAGGCAGGGTCGTGCACGCCCAACCTTGCGCAGCTTAGGGGTTTTGGAGTTCACCAGCTGTTAAACGTTTTCCAAGTTTCCACCAAGTTATACGATTTATAAAAGCCATGAGCTCTGGGATCCGCTGAAGATGTGTAGAAAGGCGAGAATGGTGCTGAAAAAAGTGGGCAGGGGGGATAGGGGGCAAAGAAAGACAGAAAAAGAGAGAGAGAGAGAGAGAGAGAGAGAGAGAGAGAGAGAGAGAGAGAGAGAGAGAGAGAGAGAGAGAGAGAGAGAGAGAGGAGAGAGAGAGAGAGAGGAGAGATATGAGAGAGAGATGGGGGGGGGGGGGGGGAGATATGAAGAATGGGGGGTTTAAGGCCTAAATAAATATATATTTCCTGGGTCGAGATATCCCGCGGACCAATGCCCCCCCCCCCCCCCTCCCAAACAAAAACAAAACAAAACAAAAACCTTTAGGGACTGAAAACGAAATGTTAAACAACTCTGTTCATTTATTCAGTACCTCTCTCGTCCCCAACATAAAGCAACAAGGGGAACAATGTGACGAGAGTATAGGCGAAGATACTGTGTGAGAGCCTGAGCAGCTGGGGCCAGCGGCCCTCGCTGCCAGACATCCAGGACTAGAGGAAAGGCTGGCGGCTGCAAGCCTTCTGGTGGTACGCTACCTTAGTGACCTGCCACACACTACACTACGTACAGAAACAATATGCAAGTTAGACGGAAATGCTAGTTTGATCGACCCTTATAGCGAGCTAGCACCTGATGACATTTCATAGTACTCAGGACGTGTTGATGTGGGTAATTGTGATGCAGGTGGGGGTGGGGGGGGCGAAGCAGACGATTAAAAATTTAAAATGTAAAAATATTCGGGCTTGTCTTTACCCTACTGGTTCCTGTCCAACATGACGTTCGTTGATGTCTCTTCTTCAGTGAAGTTAAGGTGTCGGAAGTTGAGTGGTGGCATAGGGATGGTGAGAAGAACACAGTCTGACGTCATTAAGCCCAGGAACCAATCAGAACTCACAAGACCAACACGAGTGGACTCTGGCACAAAAGCGTCCGGGAAATACCTGGTCTGCCACTTCCTCTCCCCCCCCCCCGCTCCACAAGTACAGAGTGTTTAAAGTCTTTCACCCGGGATCACATTAGCAATAAACTGGTACGACAAAGTGAATTCACTGCGATTAAAAAAGATAACAGGTTGTTTTGTAACGTGATGTGAGTCGCACGTGAGAGGTGGCGGGAGGCGACCTGGCACCGCCATCGTACGCGTCAGCCTCCTCACTTGTCTTCAGTAAAGTTGGCGGAATTGAGACGCTTCGCGCGGTAACATGTTAATGCTTACAAATATATGACATTACAACGATACACATGGAAAATATCCTTTATTTATAGGACACCGAGGTTATACAAGATTTATTCAACGAACAGACATTACAATAATTGTCCTTACGATTAGGCATGTTAAGCGTCTTGAATTGGTAAAACCTTCGTAACAATGATGCAAAGGTATTCATTATTACCTACACACACACACACACACACGCACGCATGGCCCATCTCACACTGTCAGCAACCCTCCACACCACCTGCATCAGCTTCGCATTCAACTCCCTAAGCTTACCTCACCTAACCTATTATAAGCGTTACTGGTCGCTGTAGTGAGCTCTGAACACACTCAAGCGCTAGCCAGTATAGCAGTTTATTCTCCAACATTTGTTTCCCTGTAGTAAACGATAATATTGATAAGCCCGCGTTTTACAGTACAGTAGAATCCAACACGGATATAAGGAATCACCACAGCGGGCCTGTCGACCCTATTCTGGTCGGAGGCCCTGTAGACCCGTCCCACTCCCCACAAGTACCTATTGACACGATATTCCGGTTGCCGCGTCACCTTCAGTAACGCCAACAATGCATCAGCACAACCCGACACCAGTTACGCTCACTCTGCAATATTCCAAGCGGGCGTTCTAAGTGCTCATGTTATGTGGTTCTGTCATTGTCTCCCGCGCCATGATAGGTGTCGTCTCACTCTCCACTGCTAGCTGATATGTTAAAAAAGGAAGAGCCAGTGTTCAACCCCACCTGCAGTACCTCCGTCGGTTGCTTGCCCCGAGCCAATTACACCGTACTCGTAATCAACAAACAAAAATTATACTTATTGAGCAAAATCTACCGTTTTCTACGCTTCTAGACGACAGGCAGGAAACAGTTGTTTCTACCGCCAAATTTTGAGTACGGTATATATTAGATTGTGATTTACGTTAATGTAGTTGTAAACCCATAATTCATGACCGGGCTGATGGACTGCCAAACTGCTGCCACCTGGCAGACACACCTGCCGTAAACACACACATAAGGTTCTCCTCAGTAAATATGTCTTGTTTAAAATTATCACCTGTGGTTGGCACGGCAAACTTCGTTAACAAGTACCATATAAGCTTATAAACAATTAAAAGAGGGGGACATAGAGTATCAGTAGTCGAGAGGTAATCCCAGAGGACTGCCAGCGTGTGTACAAAAGCGGACTACATCCTTACTTTAGATCTATATATATCACATTCTTTCAACTCTTGTAACAATTGTATTTATTCATCGTTTTCTATGAGCCGAGGTCGCGCCCAGCTTTGGCGTACTCTTAAACAAAATTAGCTGCCATACCAAGCTATGTGTCTAGAGCAGAAACCTGCATTTATCAAAATACATTATATGCCATTATAATTCAACATTCTGCAGTTATTTATTATAATATAACATTTGATATACTTAAATCTACCAGGGTTTTCTCTTTAGAGTTACAAATATTTAGATATTGAACTCTAAACAATATATATATATACATATATATGTATATATATATATATATATATATATATATATATATATATATATATATATATATATATATATATATATATATATATATATATATATATATATATATATATATATATATATCACATTGTAGCAAATTATATGATAAAAGACAACTTTGAAGACATGCCCCAGAATTCTCGACGGAAACTGTTCTAGGACAAAAGTCTTCATAGTTATGGTTTCATCACACACACACACACATATATATATATACATATATATATATATATATATATATATATATATATACATATATATATATATATATATATATATATATATATATATATATATATATATATATATATATATATATACGAATAAACAAATAGACTTTCATTAGTAACATCTCAACAACTTACACTAAGTTTACAGAGTTAAAACTTGATATTTACTAAGGAGAACCAGACGACGGGTAGCTGGGAGCTGGGCCCTCATCTCCCCCCCACACTCCCCCACGGCACCTCACACCTTGGTCCTCACGCTGGACAAAAAGGGTAACCCTTAATACATCACCAGTACTGGACCATAAAGGGTAACCCTTAATACATCACCAGTACTGGACCATAAAGGGTAACCCTTAATACATCACCAGTACTGGACCATAAAGGGTAGCCCTTAATACATCACCAGTACTGGACCATAAAGGGTAACCCTTAATACATCACCAGTACTGGACCATAAAGGGTAACCCTTAATACATCACCAGTACTGGACCATAAAGGGTAACCCTTAATACATCACCAGTACTGGACCATAAAGGGTAACCCTTAATACATCACCAGTACTGGACCATAAAGGGTAACCCTTAATACATTACATGTGGCACAAGTCTTCCATTACAACTTTCTTTAATTTTTGGGTAAAATATATAAATCCGCCATAATATTCATGGCGTTAATCTGTCGAACTGGCGAGATACTCAAATTTGATCGTGAAGCCAAATCTCTTATTATGTGGCATACAGTCTTAGGCTCGGCAACATTTTAAGATGCCATGGTGTCAGCGAGGGTCCAGGTCTACACAGGACTCCATGACTCACAGCAAAACCACTCAGTGTACACAGGACTTCGTGACTCCCAGCAACCTTATTCAGTGTATACAGGACTCCCATGACCCCACAGCAAAACCACTCTGCTTGTCCCGCTTCGTCAAATACAAGAACAGTCCACAGTATCGTGGGTGCAACAATTAAACTTTAAACACACGCATTTGAGACCCGAATCCGTATCAGTGTGTCAGGCAGGCCTGGCCAATTATCAAATCGTTACTGAAAGTTTTAACTTGATAATGGTCCAAGGGAAAACAGAGAGTTAGCACATTGTTGACATCTCTAATGTGCGGGTTTTGTGTTGACTTTTAGCCGCTAATTGATCATATGCTAAGGGGGAAGGAGTCACCGCTAGTCGAGTGTGGTGTGTGCTAGGACTGCCCCACACGATCGAGGAGTGGCATGCTGTTATCGTATTTCTAGAATATCTTCTGATCAATACAAATGCAGTTATCGTCTCGAAAAATATACAAAACAAATAACTGAGACATTATTTACGGATTTACCATACTTAATTCAGTAGAAGCAGGTTGAGGACAAATTCCAGAGTTGAATTGTGGTCATATTTAGAAAGGGAACCAGACTGCTACACGTTTACCCCCAAACACAACCTCACGGCCCCAATATACGTCGTACATGTCACTGAAATACTCTGTTTTGAAAGTTTTCTTGAATCCTGACTAACGACACTGGGCGAGCTGTAAGTGGCAACATTGCTGTTGGTGATTTCGTGCGGTGAGGAAGTCATCAATTAGCACATCGTCTGTTAACACTCCGACTCTGTGTTATCCTTATCGGTAGATAACGTTCTGAATGCGTTGACTCAGTCCAGGACAAATTATCTTTCATGGTAGACTCGGCTAACTTGGTTTTTCTTAACACTGATACAAAAATCATTTGCTATTATTTTTTTTTAAGTTCAGTTCATTGTAATCATCCAGTACTTCAAAGCCTCTTTTGTTTTCCCGTCTCATACATTTAATTCAAGTCACACTTGCGTATAAATTTGCTTACAAAAGCAGAAGTAGATTGCTGTACCGAACATTAGTGACTGAAATGTAGCTACAAGTGACCCCACGAGAGTATTCCTTCAGCGCCACGCATAAGGTCTGCAAGGACTTGTCTCAACACAGAGTTTACCAGGCTGGGTTGTGCGGAGGTGAAACCTGTGGTCCAAGTGTCGGGGAGGTGAGGCAACCTCGCCACTATCGCCGTAACAATAATAATATTGGTGGCTCTTCTGTCGATTCCTTCTCAAGCTCTGCCCTCTTGACAGACAAATCATTCGTGATTCGCGGTACTTCATTTCATAAACATAACCATCAGCTGTTGTAGGCAACTCCTCGGAAATACATGAGAATCCAACTTTCTGATCTGCAAAATATAATTTTAGAGGACAGACGTTAAGTGTAGTAGACGGCTTTATATAGTTAGGTCCTGACCGACCAGGCTGTAGTGGGAAGCATCAAGCCAAGGTATGGGGAGAGGTTTAAGGCGGGGGAGAGGGGGGGGGGGAAGGGGGGCTGTTGCTGGTTGTACTTGACCAAGAGAAAGATATTTGGTAGAAGTATGCCATTTCCCTTCGACATGAGTGATAGGTGTAATTCAGTACCTGAGTGCTGTACAGGGTACACAGCAGTGCTCTAAGCGACCAAGTTAACACTAAGCAGAAGCATCAGGGACTATACACACACACACCTCGTGGAGCACTTCGTCACACGAACACTTGGTCGAGAACGGGTCCTTTACTGGTGGCAGCGTGGATCCTGGCGAGATGGCTACACGTGGCTACCTGTAGACTGTGTGATACTAGGTCTCTTTGTAGTCTGTGTGGGGTGGTGAGTGCTGGTCTACTGTAGTCTGTGGTACTTGGAACTGTTTGTATTCTGTGAGGGGTGGTGAGTGATCGAGGCTACCTGTAGCTGGTGTGGGTCAGTGGGTGCTGGGGGCTACCTGTAGCTTGTAGGGGTCAGTGGGTGCTGGGGCTACCTGTAGCCTGTGTGGGGGTCAGTGGGTGCTGGGGCTACCTGTAGCTTGTGGGGGTCAGTGGGTGCTGGGGCTACCTGTAACCTGTGTGGGGGTCAGTGGGTGCTGGGGCTACCTGTAACCTGTGTGGGGGTCAGTGGGTGCTGGGGCTACCTGTAGCTGGTGTGGGTCAGTGGGTGCTGGGGCTACCTGTAGCCTGTGTGGGGGTCAGTGGGTGCTGGGGCTACCTGTAGCCTGTGTGGGGGGGGGTCAGTGGGTGCTGGGGCTACCTGTAGCCTGTGTGGGGGGGGGTCAGTGGGTGCTGGGGGCTACCTGTAGCCTGTGTGTGGGTCAGTGGGTGCTGGGGCTACCTGTAGCCTGTGTGGGGGTCAGTGGGTGCTGGGGCTACCTGTAGCTGGTGTGGGTCAGTGGGTGCTGGGGGCTACCTGTAGCCTATGAGGGGGTCAATGGGTACTGGGGCTAACTGTAGCCTGTGTGGGGGTCAGTGGGTGCTGGGGCTACCTGTAGCCTGTGTGGGGGTCAGTGGGTGCTGGGGCTACCTGTAGCCTGTGTGGGGGTCAGTGGGTGCTGGGGCTACCTGTAGCCTGTGTGGGGGTCAGTGGGTGCTGGGGCTACCTGTAGCCTGTGTGGGGGTCAGTGGGTGCTGGGGCTACCTGTAGCCTGTATGGGGTGATGGGGTTATATATAGCTATTTAGTGGGTGGGTGGGGGGCAGGGCTATTTGTAGTCCAGCAGGCGCAGTCACTGTGGTGAGGGTGGAGGGCGAGGAGGCAGGTGTGGGTGTTGCAAGCATCGCACACCTGCGACACATCTGTAATGCATCTGTTACCCTTTACGACAGGTGAAGGCGGGTGTGTGAGCTAGGGTATGGGGCTAGCCCCTCCCATGGGAGTGAGTGACGGGGGGTGGGAGAGAGAGAGAGAGAGGTGGATCCAATGCGAGGTGGGAGGAGCTAACTGGTGGGTTGGTCTGGTGGTGTGGGCGGCGTGGGCGTAGTTAGGTGACGGGGTCTGGGCGTGTGGGCGGCGTGGGCGGTGGACTCTCATGCTCAACGCTGCTTCCTTCACTAATCAGCGCTGCCACCTCTCCCTTCTCCTCAAACATCCGGCCCTGTGGGAGGGGGAAGGGGAGACAACGATAGTGATGATGCTAGGGGCCCTGGCACTCCTTGTTTTGATCTAAGACGTTTACTCCCACTGTCTTCTATGATTCCATTAACGAAAGCTTAATCACATGATGGGGTTGTAATACACACACACACACACACACACACACACACACACACACACACACACACACACACACACACACACACACACACACACACACACACACACACACACCTGGTGGTTGGCTTCGTGGTGCAGTCGTCTCCAGGTAAAAGGCTTGCGGTCGGTGTTGACGTCGGAGTTCGAAGCGCTGTAGGTGGGGTTGGTGTAAGTGAGGGCGCCTCCCTTGGGGCCTTCCACCATCTTGGTCTGCTTCTTGTACTTCCACCAGGCGACGACGGCCATCATAGCCAACACCGACACCGCGAACACCAGCGCCAGCACCGCCAGCAGGGGCACCAACCCTGGCGGGTCCTCGCTCGACGGCGTCCCCCCCGGCTTTTTAGGGGTCTTCTTTGGGAGGTCAGGCTTCGAGGGTACTTTGAACAATGGACCTGCAAGGTTAAGGGATGTTTTCAGTGATGTTGAGTGAGTGAGTGTCGAGTGAGTGAGTGAGTGAGTGAGTGAGTGAGTGAGTGAGTGAGTGAGTGAGTGAGTGAGTGAGTGAGTGAGTGAGTGAGTGAGTGAGTGACAGAGAGAGAGAGAGAGAGAGAGAGAGAGAGAGAGAGCGAGAGAGAGAGAGAGAGAGAGAGAGACTAGTATCTAATTCAATATGTAGTTTTATAAGCTGGTATGACCTTAAGACGAGAAACAATAGGTCAGGCTCGGCTCGGGAGTTAACAGTTGAAGCTTGATCCTGTTAGGTGAGCATACACACACACACACACACACACACACACACACACACACACACACACACACACACACACACACACACACACACACACACCACCGAGAGCTAACTTACGGTCCGAACACTCGGGGTCGGTGTTGTCGGGACAAGCACACCGTCGGCCGCTCGGGAGGTAGAAGCAGAGATGGCTGCAGCCTCCATTACGGTCCACACACTGGTTCCAGCCTTCTTGAGACGTCTTGGTCACAGCCTTAATCTCCATGATGCCCTGCCAGGAGATGTTACTTAACTTCCATCTCTCCCCAGAACACCTTTCCAGAATTCACTCTCAAAAGTATGTTGAATATAAAATAAAATAAAAATGGTTTAATAATTACACACAGAGATCACACTAACGTGATGTATCAATTGAACAAATCCACAAGGGCCGTGACGAGGATTCGAACCTGCGTCACCTCAGGCTGTGTGGTTTAATAATTGTTCACCAATTATTGTTTACAGTCTTTTGTTTGGTATCATATGGTTCTTGAACGTTCACAATATATAAATTTTGATCTGATAAATGACAAGAATATATAAATCACCGATAGAATGTAATTAAATACTCTTTTCTGATAGGTCCAGCCAAGCCTTAGAGCTTAGGGTAACCTTGGCTACCAGGAGGCGGGGGACCAGACTGACTGACTTCATGAGATGAAAGGAGCTTGTGGATCACTTCAACTCAAAATCGAGAACAATCCCCCCTTCTCCCCCCCTCCCTCCCTCTCATGCAGGGCCGGATTAAGACCTTTACAGGTCCTAAACACATAAAAGATTTGGGTGCTCCCATATATATATATATATATATATATATATATATATATATATATATATATATATATATATATATATATATATATATATATATGTCGTACCTAGTAGCCAGAACGCACTTCTCAGCCTACTATGCAAGGCCCAATTTGCCTAATAAGCCAAGTTTTCATGAATTAATGATTTTCGTCTACCTAACCTACCTAACCTAACCTAACCTAACGTTTTCTTCTACCTAACCTAACCTAACCTATAGAGATAGGTTAGGTAGGGTTGGTTAGGTTCGATCATATATCTACGCTAATTTTAACTACAATAAAAAAAATTGACCTCATACATAATGAAATGGGTAGCTTTATCATGTCATAAGGAAAAAATTAGAGAAAATATATTAATTCAGGAAAACTTGGCTTATTAGGCAAATCGGGCCTTGCATAGTAGGCTGAGAAGTGCGTTCTGGCTACTAGGTACGACATATATATATATATATATATATATATATATATATATATATATATATATATATATATATATATATATATATATATATATATAATCAAGAAAATCTCTGCTACTACTTTGTATATCTTCTCTCCTTCTCTTCTCAGTCTTGTTTGTCAGCAATTGTTGTTTTAGATTTTCAAAATAGAGTCAGCTACTCGGAACAAGTTCCAAGTAGCACGGGCTATGGTGAGCCCGTAACTTCCCTGGCACAGGAGCGGGGCAAGTAGCACGGGCTATGGTGAGCCCGTAGTGCACTTACCTGGCACAGGAGCGGCGCTGTGTACTTTGAGGCAAACTAATACTTGTCTTGAGTTAATACTGTGCCAGCAATTGTGTAAAAAGGTGGTTAAAAAGCTAACTAAAACTTCCCCTAACCAACTATCTCCATCCGTCCGTATCCACTCACCTCTATCCCATTTCTGATAATCTTCCTGTTCTTTCCGGTAGTCTTGTCGGCGCGTTCGATGGTCATGGTCTCCCAGTCCGTCCAGTAGATGTGGCTACCCAGCTGCAGCAGGGGCGCCCATTCCGCCACAACGCGAACACACATTAGAAAAACATATTATCTTTCAAAATTATTACAAATGCGTAGATGTGAGATATAGAAATAAAGATAATGAAGACTCTCCTAGAACACATATGTGGGATGATTGTAACTTTCTATTATGTTTGTTGTTAATTTCGTCTATAAAATATGTGTATTAATACGTCAATACGTAGTACGTAGTATTAATACGTAGCAGCAAGCATCATCTTCATCGACGAAGACACCAGTAGCCACAGACAACCTTCGTCAATTTAGGAATTGTATATATTTATCTCTCAGAATGTTCGGTAATACGTTTATTGTTTGTGATGTGTGTATATGTATGTATTAACACGTTGTACTGAACGGGGTGAGAATAGCTTGAGCTACCTCATCCCTTTGTGTGTATTTTACCTCAATAAACTTATTTCAATTTCAATTTCAACCTTCGTCTAAACACACTAGACAGGCAGCGTCTGGGATGCTCTCGGACGCAGGTTCGAATCCTCGTCACGGCCCTTGTGGATTTATTCACACTAGACGTTTGAACCACATCTGCCGACGCATTAAAAGTTACAACTTCCTCTCCCTAACACTAGAAGTTAGAAACACTTCTTTTAACACACTAGAAGTTTGACCCAACACTCAAGAAATATGAACCACCTTCCCTAACACGTTAAAGTTTGACCCCACGACTCCCAAAACGCTAGTTAGTTAGAATCCCTTCTCGCTATACACTAGAAGTTAGAATCACAGCTTCCCAACACATTAGAGCTTAGAACTACTTTCTCTAACACAATATTTGAAATGATTAAAGTTTCCAACAAGTTAACAACTTTCTTTTAGTCCTAGAAAAAGGTCCTCCAGCACATTTATAGCACAATCCTGGAACAATTTTCAATAACCATTATCATGGTACAATTTCCAAATAAGAAGTAATCTTGGGGCAATCTCAATATGTTAGTAACACTGGAACAATCTCAGCATACTAATAACACTACAAATTTCTTGGCAATACATGATAACGAAGAACCATTTTCTCTATGTACAGCAAAAATTCTTATTATACAAAATGAAAGAGGCACCAACCCCTTTCTCTAAAACATAAGCAACAAAGGGGCAACTTTCACCAAATATACAAACAATCAAGTACCCTTTTCTGCAACAAAATACCATAATAAACTGCATTTTTAACATTTCAAGCAAGATATCTTCCTCCTCCTGATATCCCTCACCACCTGTATCGTCACAGCCCGTAAGATAGCGGCTATCAGGTAAATTCAGGTAATTTGCAAAACTCTCCCTTCTCCCCCTCCTCCTCCTCTCTATCACCTTTCCCCTTGCTCTCTCCCTCACACCCCCTCTCTCCCCCCCCTCACCAGCGTCAGACCGAAGGGGTGGGAAACTTGCTGCAACAACACTACGCGATTCTCGCCATTCAGGTCCGACGAGCCGATGGTGTCAAACTTGGCGTCATTCCAGAAGATCCGTCGCATTTTGTAGTCGATGGTGATGCCATTTGGCCAGCCGATGTCCTGGTCAATCAGCACGGTGCGCTGCGACCCGTCCAGGTACGCCCTCTCGATCTTGGAGTTGTTGCCCCAGTCCGTCCAGAATAAGAGTCTGCAAGCGTGTTCCAGAGGATATAAGTCACACTGTATACAGGACAGTTCGTCAACGGATTTTAAAAATCTACTTAACCTTATCCACCTTATCTAATCTAATCTAGTCCAACCGAGCCTACTATAAGCCAATTCACTCGAACCTAAGAGAGAGAGAGAGAGAAGATTAAGCCACCCAAAAGGTGGCTTGGGCATGAATAGCCCATAAGTGGTGGCCCTTTTGAGCCATTTCCAGTATCAATAGATGATACTGGAGATCTGTGGAGGTGCGACTGCACCCTGCGTGACGGGAGATGTCTCCTGTGTATATTCACCCGAGCCTAACTTATATATATATATAGAGTTTTGACAATCAGAAAACGAGCTTTAGCGGACAGTCTTGGGTACAATTTGGCCGAACGGCATCCTGTGCTTTAAGGGCAAACTCGGCTATTGGGGAAGTCAAGGTGAAACTAAACGCGCTCAACCACTTAAGTCCTGTCTGTGGATATTGGCCACCAGGAAGGTATACTTCAGTCCCTCCCAAGTATATATAGACGCACCAAGAAAAAGGTTGTTGACGTTGTACGTTGAAGACGTCTCTTCCGTTACTGCGTCATTCTTGGTAGAAAATAATAATAATAATAATAATAATAATAAAAACTGCGTCATTTTCTGTAACATATACACATATATGTATATATACACAAACATATATGTTTATATATATACATATATATGTTTTGTACATATACACATGTATATTCAGTTACATATATGCCTGGGGACCATTGAGGCTTGTTCGCATGGATATGTTTTCTATCTCTCTAAGACTCCGTTTTCTATCTATCCCAAGCATATTGTGTGGATCTTGGGAGGGTAAACTTAAGTGTACGCCTCTACCACGTGATAGTTTCCATGGCAACCCTTCCATAGTTTTGAATGTGAATTCTTCTAGATAGCATTTATTCCTTGATAAAAACTTAATTCTTGAAAGTAAATGTAAGAATTCTCCATCGAGCGTTGAGAGCTCAGGCAAGATCACTGGGACACCTTTGTTAACAATTTCTATTGAACGTTATTTTAATTGCTGTGTTTACTGTTATTAAGATAAAACTGGAGACAAGACTGAAAAATGCATCACGCCTTGCAAGTTGTTGTTATAGATTCAGCTACTCGGAACAAGTTCCAAGTAGCACGGGTTATGGTGAGCCCGTAACTTACCTAGCACAAGAGCGGGGCAAGTAGCACGGGCTATGGTTAGCTTGTGTGTATGTGACGCCTTGCAAGTCATATGCCACATTATATACTATTAGTTAACCCATATGATCATAATTATAGGCGTCACTAAATCCAATATATCAATTCATCAGTAATCACCCCCAGCATAGTGATCATACCCATTAACAACACTTAATCACCTCAATATAGGAAGAACCCCGAATGGCAGCAAATTGATTGATGAAGATTAAGCCACCCAAAAGGTGGCACGGGCATGAATAGCCCGTAAGTGGTGGCCCTTTTGAGCCATTACAAGTATCAAGAGCTGATACTGGAGATCTGTGGAGGTGCGGCTGCATCCTGCGTAACGGGAGATGTCTCCCATGTCGAATGGCAGCAATATTGGCCATTCCTTTGTAACTTACGGGTTATTCATGCCCGTGCCACCTCTTGGGTGGCTTAATTTTCATCAATCAATCAATCCTTAGTAACGAGAAATTACTCAACCATCTCTATCTGTAAATAGTGACCCTTAAATGACATAAAGGGCTAAAGGGTCCCCGTTAGTACAGTCGGGTTCGATCTCAACGCACAATCGAGAATTCTGGATTCGAATCCCGAGCGGGACTGAAATGGTTGGGCACATTTCCTTTCACCCAATGCCGCTGTTCCCCTAGAAATGAGTAGGTACTCAGGAGTTAGTTTGTTGTAGGGCTGCATCCTGGGTGGGGTCAGTAAATTGACCTTGGGAGGGACCTGGATAAAAGCCAAACGTGTATGAATACACTATGCCTTCCTGTCCCCCCGACACAATGAATTATAAATAATAATCATACCTGTATGAAATAATCATACCTGTGAACCTGTGTTCGTCGCGAACAATAACTACATGTGCCAGTACATGTGACTGGGGCCCAGTCACATGTACTGGTATTAGATTCGCGAGTTCTGGACGCGGGTCCAGAACAGAAAACCTTTTTGTTAATGAGTCGCTATGATTCATGATACGCCGTATTTTGTTCGCTGGGGATTTCGGCGTCAATATACGAAGGTATTACTTGAGAGGAAACGTTGAATTACTAATCGACTCATACAACAGCAAGTCTAATGTTACGTGATAAGACACTCACCCTTCACTCGGGAAGAGAGCAATGGCTCTGGGCTCAAGAAGTTGGGAGTTAATGATGGTTTTCTGAGAGGAGCCATCCAGCCTGGCCACCTCCACCGTCTTGTGACCTGTGTCCGTCCAGTAGATGTTGTCTGCCAGCCAGTCGAGGGCCAGGCCGTCGGCGGTGATGTAGCCCGGGGTGATGATGGTCCACGGGTGCGACAGGTTCTTCAGGGACACCACCCTGCACCGACGGGGAAAACAGCGTCTCTATCACAGATGTTAACCAGATCACACACACTAGAAGGTGAAGGGACGACGACGTTTCGGTCCGTCCTGGACCATTCTCAAGTCGATTGTGACTTGAGAATGGTCCAGGACGGACCGAAACGTCGTCGTCCCTTCACTTTCTAGTGTGTGATCTGGTCAACATACTTCAGCCACGTTATTGTGACACATCGCCTGTCTGTCACAATAACGCCTGGGAGGTTGAGCAGAGCTCAACCCCCCGCAAGCACAACTAGCTGAATACAACTAGGTGAATACATACATTTCAGAGCACAACGTACAGTGTACAAACGTGAAAAGGTGGAACAGTTGGTGAAGGAGCAGGGAAGAAATAAAAGAGTCTGGCCAGACGGAGCCTCACTTGGGTTCTAAAGGAATGCGCACCCGAGCTGAGCACTCCTCTGTAATAACGTATTTTTCAGGAATTCACGGGAATCTAGCAGATATATGAAAAAAGTTAAACAGTTCCAATCAATAAAAAAGGTAGCAGAGTAGACACTATCTAACCTATGTCGTGGTAGTGAAATCGCTAGACAAATGATTACAACCAAATGGGTAGAATACTTGGTAATAAATTACGTAACCACAGACTGTATGGCTGTCTAAGAAGATCTTGGCTACCAAGATATCACAATCGACTTGAAAATGGTCCAGGACGGACCGAAACTTCCGTCGTCCCTTCACCTTCTTGTGTGTGTGGTGTGGTCAACATACTTTAGCCACGTTATTGTGACTCCTCGCCTGCACTTGGCTACCAACCTAATAGATTCCAAATCGGTGTCTGTGTAGAAGAGGAGGTTCTTTTTCTTGTGGAAGTCCACGTCGATGGGGCGGCTGGTGGAGGAGACGTAGAGCGGCACGTCCCACAAGGGCTCCGTGTCCAGGGAGATCCGCGCCAGCATGCCCTTGGCTGCCACGATGAGGTAATTGTTGGGCTCCTCCTTACACCGGTGATTGTCATTCTGAGGGAGACCACATGTTGTGAGAGTGAGAGGGAGAGTGAGTGAGAGAGTGAGAGAGTCAGTGAGAGAGTCAGTGAGAGAGTCAGTGAGAGAGTCAGTGAGAGAGTCAGTGAGTGAGTGAGTGAGTGAGTGAGTGAGTGAGTGAGTGAGTGAGTGAGTGAGTGAGAGAGTGAGAGAGTGAGAGAGTGAGAGAGTGAGAGAGTGAGAGAGTGAGTGAGTGAGTGAGTGAGTGAGTGAGTGAGTGAGTGAGTGAGAGTGTGAGAGTGTGAGAGTGTGAGAGTGTGAGAGTGTGAGAGTGTGAGAGAGTGAGAGAGAGAGAGGAGAGAGAGAGAGAGAGAGAGAGAGAGAGAGAGAGAGAGAGAGAGAGAGAGAGAGAGAGAGAGAGAGAGAGAGAGAGAGAGAGAGAGAGAAGAGAGAGAGAGAGAGAGAGAGAGAGAGAGAGAGAGAGAGAGAGAGAGAGAGAGAGAGAGAGAGAGAGAGAGAGAGAGAGAGAGAGAGAGAGAGAGAGAGAGAGAGAGAGAGAGAGAGAGAGAGAGAGAGAGAGAGAGAGAGAGAGAGAGAGAGAGAAGAGAGAGAGAGAGAGAGAGAGAGAGAGGAGAGAGAGAGAAGAGAGAGAGAGAGAGTGAGAGAGAGAGAGAAGAGAGAGAGAGAGAGAGAGAGAGAGAGAGAGAGAGAGAGAGAGAGAGAGAGAGAGAGAGAGAGAGAGAGAGAGAGAGAGAGAGAGAGAGAGAGAGAGAGAGAGAGAGAGAGAGAGAGAGAGAGAGAGTGAGAGAGAGAGAGGTGAAAGAGAGAGAGAGAGAGAGAGGAGAGAGAGAGAGAGAGAGAGAGAGAGAGAGAGAGAGAGAGAGAGAGAGAGAGAGGGGAGTGCAGAGAGAGAGAGAGAGAGAGAAGAGAGAGAGAGAGAGAGAGAGAGAGAGAGAGAGAGAGAGAGAGAGAGAGAGAGAGAGAGAGAGAATAAAGAGTGGGGAAGACAGAGGACATAGAAAGGGGAGGAATGACAAAGGGCACAGAAAGGAGGGGGGGGGGGGGGTGGAACAAAATATTTCAATAATTCACTCTAGTTCAGGTTAGTAAAGTATGTATGAGAGAGACGGTCTAGGGCTGAGGTGGTACCTTGATCATGGTGAGGCCAGTAGGGCAGGCACAGGAATACCCTAGAGGGATGCGGAGACACAGATGCGAACACCGTCCATTGTCGTCACCACATTTGTTCTCCTCTACAGGAGGACCCTTAAGGAGAACATGTAAACTACTTTTATCCCAACTCACGGTGGCATGTGTCTGGGTTAGTGGTGTTTACAAGGGAAGACCTACAAGACTAACATATATGGAAGACCCTTACCAGAGAAGCTGTTCATATAGACCGTGTTGTACATACCAAAACAGATGAAAATCATTATTTAACTCATACTTATTTGAATGGTCAGCTAGTACCAATTAGTTTAGTGCATTTGGCATAAATAAAAGTAGTTCGGTGCATAGTTAGGACTCACCGGCAGAGCTTTGATGTCCATCAACCCAGCGAGGCCTTCCCTCATGGAGTAGATGCGGCCGCGGGAATCCTTCTGCGTCCTGTTGAGGGACTTTGTTTCCCAGTCGGTCCAATAGACCCACTTCCCCTGGACAGTTACACCGTACGGGTGAGGCACGTCTGTGGTACAGCATGGAGAGAAACAGTCAGTGCTTGATACAGTGCTGTATCAAGGCGCGCACAAAAGACTAGGCTGGATATATATATTTATATATTATTAACTGTTACATAATCTACATTTAAATCTACGTGGGATTCTAAGAACTGGTGTTGCACTAATATCTTGAGAGACATATAAGCTAAGAGCTTAACTACAAGAATGGAGAGGTTGATGAGAGATGAGATGAAGACTAAGCCACCCAAAAGGTGGCACGGGCATGAATAGCCCGTAAGTGGAGGCCCTTTTGAGCCATTACCAGTATCCAGAGCTGATACTGGAGATCTGTGGAGGTGCGACTGCACCCTGCGTGACGGGAGATGTCTCCCGGACCAAATGGTGACCAGATGGACTAATTATATCATTCAAAGGTAATATTTACACTGGTCTAGCAAGTCACCTCATTTAATTAGAAGTTGTTCGTGCTAATTATCAACGAAGTACTTGAGATTCCAGGGTAAACATCTTCTCATTACTGTTGTTACAAGAGTGGACAGGTTATGAAGTAAGCTTCTAGGTTATGAAGTAAGCTGGACATACAGTACCAGGTTACAAAGTAAGCTGGACATACAGTACCAGGTTACAAAGTAAGCTGGACATACAGTACCAGGTTATAAAGTAAGCTGGACATACAGTACCAGGTTACAAAGTAAGCTGGACATACAGTACCAGGTTATAAAGTAAGCTGGACATACAGTACCAGGTTATAAAGTAAGCTGGACATACAGTACCAGGTTATAAAGTAAGCTGGACATACAGTACCAGGTTACAAAGTAAGCTGGACATACAGTACCAGGTTATAAAGTAAGCTGGACATACAGTACCAGGTTATAAAGTAAGCTGGGCATACAGTACCACGTTACAAAGTAAGCTGGACATACAGTACCAGGTTATAAAGTAAGCTGGACATACAGTACCAGGTTTCAAAGTAAGCTGGACATACAGTACCAGGTTACAAAGTAGCTGGACATACAGTACCAGGTTATAAAGTAAGCTGGACATACAGTACCAGGTTACAAAGTAAGCTGGACATACAGTACCAGGTTACAAAGTAAGCTGGACATACAGTACCAGGTTATAAAGTAAGCTGGACATACAGTACCAGGTTACAAAGTAAGCTGGACATACAGTACCAGGTTACAAAGTAAGCTGGACATACAGTACCAGGTTATAAAGTAAGCTGGACATACAGTACCAGGTTACAAAGTAAGCTGGACATACAGTACCAGGTTACAAAGTAAGCTGGACATACAGTACCAGGTTACAAAGTAAGCTGGACACAGTACCAGGTTATGAAGTAAGCTGGACATACAGTACCAGGTTATGAAGTAAGCTGGACATACAGTACCAGTTATAAAGTAAGCTGGACATACAGTACCAGGTTATAAAGTAAGCTGGACATACAGTACCAGGTTACAAAGTAAGCTGGACATACAGTACCAGGTTATAAAGTAAGCTGGACATACAGTACCAGGTTATAAAGTAAGCTGGACATACAGTACCAGGTTATAAAGTAAGCTGGACATACAGTACTAGGCGGTTTCTCTGAGCATATGAATTAAGAACCTCGAGGGAGCATCTTCAACGAGGCTGCTAACAGGAATCGATAAAATTGATAAAGAAGAGTTCCTGAAATCTGCAACTTCAAGAACAAGAAGTCACAGATTAAGGAAACAACGGTGCCGAAAAAAATATATTAGAAAGTTTTCTATTGCAAACAGAGTGGTAGACGGTTGGAACAAGTTAAATGAGAAGGTGGTGGAGGCCAAAACCGTCAGTAGTTTCAAGGCGATATACGACAAAGAGTACTGGGAAGACGGGACACCACGAGCGTAGCTCTCATCCTGTAACTACACACACACACACACACATACTTGTGACCACAGTGCGACGGTTGCGACCATCTATCCCAATAGCGTGGATGACATTAGTCTTGGCGTCTGTCCAGTACAGCTCCTCTTCTTGCCAGTCAACCGAGAGGCCGTTGGGCCAGGCCACGTTGGTGTCCACCAGCACTTGCCTGCATAACACATAAACATTATACCATTAATGCTTCATACATATTATAAACACCTATCATGTAAACACTGGAATCAAATTATCTGTAACTTTGTATAATTAAAGTGTTATACAAGGTTATTATAGTTAGTAACTATAGCAGGGCAAATATAAAAACATTCGTCCTTTTAGCTCTGATCTACAGGATGTTTACAATGCGGCCACAACACAAAAAGGTGTTACGAAGGCGTTTTGAACTCTCGTTATCAGACTTAAACAACACTGCAGCCGACACACACACACACACAACCGGTACAACGGAAAAATCCACATTTTCTTGATTTACTTGGTTGATACCTGGTTGATGGGCTTCTGGCAGTTCTACTCCCCAAAGTTTAGTCTAATTTATCTTCGCAGTTTAAGTTTAAGTCTAATTTATCTTCGCACACCTTCCTCACGCGTGAGAACGTCCCTCTTGCCTTACCTGTTGCTACCATCCATATCCGCGACTTCGATCCTCGGGTAGTTCTCGTCCCAGTCGGTCCAGAAGAGCTTGCCGGACGGGTAGTGGGTGGTGATGGCTCGAGGTCGGTCTAGCCCAGTGAACAGCACCCGTCGGTTCCCGCCGTCCAACTCGCTCACCTCCACAGACTGGCGCTTCATATCCGTCCAGTACATCTATGGACACATTGGCACAATTAATCACGATAAAAGAAGGCCAGATTCACGAAGCTGTTACGCAAGTACTTACGAAAACGTGTACATCTTTCCTCAATCTTTGACGCCTTTGGTTATATTTATTAAACAGTTTGCATGCATGAAAACTTCCCAATCAACTATTGTTATTGTTATAAACAGCCTCCTGGTGCCTTGGGGCTCATTAACAGTTTAATAATTGTAAAGACAGCCGCTAAAAATTGGAAAAAAGATGTACAGGTTCGTAAGTCCTTGCGTACTTGCTTCATGAATCTGGCCCCAGATTAAGCACCCGTCTAGAGCATATGTAAAATATTTGTTGTGTAATTCAGTAGATATTTAACGAGTATAGAGGCTTTGCTGCATAAACACAACAAAATATATAAATAACCTCATAATATTATTTATTACATGGGTACCCGCTTTGCTCGGGTCGCTTTGCTTGGGTCGGGTCGTGAGGTGAACAGGAGTATGAGAATGGCAGTATGATACCAAACATGAGGCGAACAAGAGGCAGTGTGATACTAAGTATGGGGTACACAAAAAGCAGTATGACACCAAACACGAGGCGAAGAAGGGGGAGGGCAGCCCCCCCATCGCCCCGTCAATGGGGCAAACCCGCGAAAGGGCCGGCGCGCCCCCTTACGAGACCCAGAACCCCCCCGCGCAGAGCGATCACCATGACATTACGGGCATAAAGAGTCACAAATGCTGCACCTTCCTGCCGGTGGCGTCGACGGCGATGCCCTGGACGTTGTCGATGGCAGCGTACACGATGCGGGTCATCTTGCCCCCGTCAAGAGAGGCTCTGTAGATCACAGAGGCTGCGCTGTCTGGTAGAAAGATGTCACCTGCAAGATAAGATTATTTCCTTAGACGAGTCTCGTTTATTATTTCTTATAATCTCTTATAATCTTATTTCTTATCTGGCTCCTGACCTATTGTCTTGTGTATGACCCTGTGTCCTGTGTGACAAGTGAACACCATCATTATTTTCACTCTAATAAGGCTTAATCAAATTCCTCAGATTAAACAAAATTGTAATTAATTTGTCATTAAAGATATTAATAATACAAATAAGTGGCAAGCTAGCTATTCAGACTTAAAGACTGTCGGGCAAGTGAGAAGACTTGCAAGATGACGGACAACACAGGTATTTAACCTTCTGAAAATACGAATCTCTGCGAATTTGAACTTTTAAGAGAAGGAAGAGACGGCACTAACCCGAGACGCTGCCAGGTGAACCAACGTCTAACCAGCGACGTTGGTCCACCACTAACCTGAGACGCTGCCAGGTGAACCAACGTCTAACCAGCGACGTTGGTTCACCACTAACCTGAGACGCTGCCAGGTGAACCAACGTCTAACCAGCGACGTTGGTTCACCACTAACCTGAGACGTCTAACCAGCGACGTTGGTTCACCACTAACCTGAGACGCTGCCAGGTGAACCAACGTCTAACCAGCGACGTTGGTTCACCACTAACCTGAGACGCTGCAACCCGTTCTCGCACTTTCTTTAAGTCAATATTGACTTATTAAATAAGTGCATATGTGACATGACTTTATTGTGAATATTTTAGTTTACCTTAAAAGCTTCATAGAAAACACCGACCTTACCTAACCTTCGACGCTTCCAGGTGAACCAACGTCTAACCAGCGACGTTGGTTCACCACTAACCCGAGACGCTGCCAGGTGAACCAACGTCTAACCAGCGACGTTGGTTCACCACTAACCTGAGACGGGGTCAATGTCGAGGGCGACGACGTGCTGTAGACCAATGAGAGGCAGGATGACGTCGGCCTGGTAGGGGGTGTCCAGAGACATCTGGCGGATGTCCTCGCGGCGGGCGAAGACCAGAGACTTCTCCGGAGTGAAGTGACACGTGTGCTGATCACTCTGGCGGGACGACACCAACTCTCACTCAAATATTCAACACTGTTCAAAATGTCTCCCTTTCTAGGTAAAAAAGCAGTGTAAATAACACATTAAGTTGATTTAAAATAACTTCAATATTATTTGGAACAGCTTGAAGGCTTATTTTCACCATAGATAACAGTCGGAATTATAAGGACGCGCTGAGCTTGAGTCTAGATATGACTGAATTGCTATGGCTATACAAACATGTTAATAAATGGGATTGCACTAACTAATTTATACTTTCAATATTAGTATGATATCCGGATTTACATTCCTTTACCTTAATTGATATTATCCTCAAGGGTATTACCATGAGGAACATGTACCTTGTAATGTACTGGTGAAACATTACCTTGAGACATATACTGGTGGAGTATTTCGAGGAGGGATATACTGGCGGAGTATTACCTTGAGGCGTATGCCTGTGGGACAGGCGCAGGTATATCCAGCAGGTCTGGGGCTGAGGAGACAAAGGTGGGAGCAGCCGCCGTTGTCGTCATGACACGGGGTGTGAAGGGCCTCCTGGTTGTGTTGGAACACCCGCACGTCCATCAGTCCCTTCAACCCTTTCCTGAGGGGTAGGCCACACACACTCTCAACTTTATGGTGTGGAAGCGAGCATGATATCTATCACATTTATGATGTGAAAGGAGGTATGATAAACAGTCCACTTTATGATATCTTGTCCCGCCCCAGCAGCGAGCGTTCTGTACTAAAAAATAAAACTAGAACGAACAAATGAACAGTTAAGGAGTCCTCAACATTGAGGAAAGAGGTAATGTTGACGACAGAGATGGAGACTCACACGACAGCCTGGCGGTCTCCTCCCGTCAGCTTGTTGGCCAGGTGGATGCTCTTGGTGTCCCAGTCCGACCAGAAGATCAGGTCCTCCCAGAGAGCCAGACCAAATGGGTGCGACAGCTCGCCTTCTGCTGGGCGACACACGCAGTAGGGGGTTATACGCTGACGCGGGTGGTAGTGAGAGGGCGATGGAAATGGTGGTGGTGATGGTGGTAGGGTGTTGATAGTGTGTGTGTGGTAGTCTGGTGGTGATTGTAGTTGGGGGCTGGGGTTGTTGTGGTGTGTGTCTCTGTGGAGAAGGGCAGGGTGACAATTTTACATAAGATCAACATTCTTCCAAACAGAAAAGAAGGTCCTCTTTGTCAAGAGATTTCTCTAAGTCATCGTTTCAGCTCCCTTCCTCCCTCTTTCTACCTCCCTCCCCCCCTCCCTCCTCTGTTCCCTCTGTTCCCTCCCTTCGTCTCTCACACGTCTGCCCCCCCCCTCCACTCACTGATGAGAGGCTTCCTGTTGGCACCGTCGAGGTTGGCTGTCTCAATAGTGTTGCTGGAGGCGTCGAGCCAGTACAGGACCCGCCTGCCGTGGTCGATGGCCAGGCCGTTAGGCCACTGCAGGTTGGTGCTGACGATCACCTTCCGTCCGCCGCCGCCCATGGCCGCCCTCTCAATCTTGGCATTCTTGCCCCAGTCCGTCCAGAACATGTAGCCATCTGCAGGGTAAAGATAGGGGGAAGGGGGTAGAAAATTCCAGGATGAGAGATCAAAATCCCTTACATACGCCTGGCCAAGAGACCCACATGAGAAGAGATCACCCCAGGAAGGGGAGACTCAACAAAAATCAAAGCCCTGCCTCACCAAACCATGTTCAGCATAGAAAACGTTAATCAGGCATAGCATGACTCAATGTGTATAGTTCCTAGCATAAACCCAAGACGTGATATACATGCCAAGGGTATACGTAATATACACGCCAAGGATATGCGTGATATACTAGCCAAGGGACACATCAAATATAATGCATAGTTCACACGATATTATTTAATTAAAAAGATTAATAAGGCACCTCTTAACTACCAGTAACATACCCCAAAAACTAATAAGATATACCCTAATCTAACGATTGCAGGTAGATACACACAGGTATATACACCTTGCTTCTTGGTGTATATATACTAAAATTGTATTTTAGTCCAGGATAATGTTCACGACCAAAGAATACTTGCTGCTTGATCAGAAAGATTTTGTGGAGGCCTTAATAGCCCTCCAAAGGTTGATAGGCCTTGAACCCAACACCAAACACAATTATACAACTACTAGCTGTACCCGGCCACGCGTTGCTGTGGCTCAGCAACGCATGTGCGTTGCTGAGCCACAGCAACCTTTTCCTGTCCCCCAGTCCTCCCCACCGTTCCCCCCCCTACCTCGTTCCCTCGTCCTCCCCACCACCCCCCTCATCCTCTCCACCACCCCCCTCGTCCTCCCAACCATTCCTCACTCCTCCATCCCCCTCGTCATCCCAACCATTCCTCACTCCCCCGTCCCCCTCGTCCTCCCAACCATTCCTCACTCCCCCATCCCCCTCGTCCTCCCAACCATTCCTCACTCCCCCGTCCCCTCGTCCTCCCCACCAACTTTACAACCAAATCTTTACCATACCGTATATAACGGTATGGTAAACAACACAGCTCATTTCCAACGCAATGTCACACAAAATAATTAAATCAAAATGAAAATAAATCAAAATCTATAAAAATTAAATTTATCAATGCAATCGAAAACATTGAAATGGAATCGTAACATACTTAGTACAGCATGTGTTGCTATTACGTGCAACAGATGGCGTTGTTTAAAAAAATAACATTTTTTTACTTGTCACAGGTGTGGCATCTATATAGTAGGTATATAAAAACATGCACGTATTGGAAGTGTCAAAATTTCAAAGCAATCGGTGAAGAACTTTCGGAGATTACAGTGTGTGTTGCTCTTACGTCCAATAGATGGAGCTTGTTTAAAAAAAAAACATGTTTTTTCCTGTCACAGGTGAAGCATGTATACAGTAGGTGTATAAAAACACGCGCCTATTCGAATGCAACGCCTATTCCTGGAATGCAATTGTGTCAAAATTTCAAAGCAATCGGTAAAGAGGTTTCGAAGATTTCCCTCATGAAAAACACACGAAAAACACAGTTTAAAAAAAAAAAATTCCCGTCACAGACATGACATCTATATAGTACGTATATAAAACCCCGCTCGGATGCGAATGCAACGTTGTGTGAAAATTTCAAAGCAATCGGTGAAGAACTTTGAGAGATTAGCAATTTTGAACAAACGAACATTTACATTTTTAATTATATAGATGATACCATAAACTAATATAATACTTACGGTAAACTAGTATAATACTAATGGACAAATCCACAAGGGTCGTGACGAGGGTTCGAACCCTCGTAAAAATATCGTAGCCTAACCATGTCGTAGCTCAGTCGATTAAGGCAGCGTCTGGGATCGTTTGGGATCCTCTCGGACGTAGGTTCGAATCCTCGTCACGGCCCTTGTGGATTTGTTCATTTGATGCATCACGCTATTGTGATTTCTGTGTGTAGTGTAGTATAATACTAATGATACCATAAACTAGTATAATATATTATACTAGGGTCCTGAGGATTCCTGGGCCCCCTGACGACTACCCTGGGCCCCTGACGACTTCCCTGGGGCCCTGAGGACCCCTTGGGCCCTGAGGACCCCCTGGGCCCTGAGATACAGCCACCACCCTTCCCTTCCCACCGGCCATGAGAAACACATTCCCAGGGGCCCTGAGCCCCCAGGGTAAATGACCGTAACCCCCCCCCCCCCTCACCCTTTCCCGCGAGCCCCACTTACCCTTGGGGTCGACGACGATGTCCCTGGGCTTGTCGAGGTGCTGCCAGATGAGGAGGGAGCGCATCGAGCCGTCCAGATAGGAAACTTCGATATGCTTTGTGCCCGCGTCCGTCCAGTAGAGCTTGTCGGTCACCCAATCCACCGCCACACCCCCAGCTCTGTCAACCACATCAACCAAGCTTTAGTGGCCTAGCTACACATCAACCAAACTGTAGTGGCCTCGCTAACATCAACCAAACTGTAGTGGCCTCGCTACACATCAACCAAACTGTAGTGGCCTCGCTACACATCAACCAAACTGTAGTGGCCTCGCTACACATCAACCAAACTGTAGTGGCCTCGCTACACATCAACCAAACTGTAGTGGCCTCGCTACACATCAACCAAACTGTAGTGGTATCGCTACACATCAACCAAACTGTAGTGGCCTCGCTACACATCAACCTTTAGTGGCCTCGCTACACATCAACCAAACTGTAGTGGCCTCGCTACACATCAACCAAACTGTAGTGGCCTCGCTACACATCAACCAAGCTTTAGTGGCCTCGCTACACATCAACCAAGCTTTAGTGGTCTCGCTACACATCAACCAAACTGTAGTGGCCTCGCTACACATCAACCAAACTGTAGTGGCCTCGCTACACATCATGTAGTGGCCTCGCTACACATCAACCAAGCTTTAGTGGCCTCACTACACATCAACCAAACTGTAGTGGCCTCGCTACACATCAACCAAACTGTAGTGGCCTCGCTACACATCAACCAAACTGTAGTGGCCTCGCTACACATCAACCAAGCTTTAGTGGCCTCGCTACACATCAACCAAGCTTTAGTGGTCTCGCTACACAAACCAAACTGTAGTGGCCTCGCTACACATCAACCAAACCAACCAAGGTTTGGTGGCCTTGCTAAACATCACCCACACCAAGCAAATTTTAATGATCTTCCTCCCCCCCCCCCAAAAAAAAAAAAAAACTTACGCTCCTTCCTATCAGAGTGAAGGAATTCGCTATCGAGGTGACATTTAATCTGATACTATGATACTAAAGTTAAAAGTAAAGGTCTGAGTAATAGATTAATAAATAAGCCAAATGGTTATAGCATAGATATCTTATTTCTTCCCCGCAAGTCTGCCATGAATGACACATGTAGGAGTGATATCATCCAGAGAATGATGCCATGAATGACACATGTAGGAGTGATATCATCCAGAGAATGATGCCATGAATGACACATGTAGGAGTGATATCATCTAGAGAATGATGCCATGAATGACACATGTAGGAGTGATATCATCCAGAGAATGATGCCATGAATGACACATGTAGGAGTGATATCATCCAGAGAATGATGCCATGAATGACACATGTAGGAGTGATATCATCCAGAGAATGATGCCATGAATGACGCATGTAGGAGTGATATCATCCAGAGAATGATGCCATGAATGACACATGTAGGAGTGATATCATCCAGAGAATGATTGATGGCTGGAGATGATGGCCGTCACGGCTAGCTGGCTATTATGTACATGTTTCAAGAGGGACTATACTGCTCTCTGTACAAACAAGGAATTAGAAATATTACCCCCTGAATGTGGGCCCGTGATCGTGGGTCTTTGATTTTGATAACTAACTCACTAGATTTCTGTGTTACCTTACCCTTGTTACATGGGTAATATTGTAAGTTTTCCAGCAACTGGTGGGTAAGGCGCCTCACGCCATACCCAATACCAGCAGCTGTATGGTAAGGCGCCTCACGCCATACCCAATACCAGCAGCTGTATGGTAAGGCGCCTCACGCCATACCCATGACCAGCAGCTGGTGGGTAAGGCGCCTCACGCCATACCCATGACCAGCAACTGGTGGGTAAGGCGCCTCAGCCATACTGACCAGCAGCTGGTGGGTAAGGCGCCTCACGCCATACCCATGACCAGCAGCTGGTGGGTAAGGCGCCTCACGCCATACCCAATACCAGCAGCTGTATGGTAAGGCGCCTCACGCCATACCCAATACCAGCAGCTGTATGGTAAGGCGCCTCACGCCATACCCAATACTAGCAGCTGTAGGATAAGAAGCCTCACACCGTACCCAATACCAGCAGCTGTAGGATAAGAAGGAGCCTCACCTAGATTGTTCCTGACCACGGTGACCTGCGCTGACCCGTTCAGGTGCGCCCGGCTGATAGTTTTGGCTTCGATGTCTGTCCAGTAGATGAGATCTTCCTGGGTGTAGAAGTCGAGGGCTACGGCCGACTTGACGCCGTCGACGGGTACCACTGTGTCCATCCTCGGCTGCTCCAAGCTCTCCATATCTGCCGAGGAGCTGCCCTCCAGCGTGCCGTCCAGCGAGATCATGCGCAGGTTGTTCCTCTGGGCGAAGACAAGGGCGCGGTCTGGCCGCTGGCTGCAAGTTCTGCAGGAGAAACACCCCGTTTGATTACCATCACTCCTGAAGTGACTTCGTGTAAACACTCTGTACTGAATTACTCCCACCGACTACGGTATATCCTCCAAGTCTCTTGTCTTATTACTAACACATTCTCACATCAATTGTTAAGGTCGGGAGATTGAGGAGGATCAGAGATGCAACAATGCTGCATTTGCCAGATGTTTATTTCAGCAAACACAAAGGCTGCTCTTACCACTGAAGCACTGATGGTAAATATCAATACATAAATAAGAAAAAACATCATCTAAAAACTGTCATCTTCTAGAGAATGAGAGAGAAGGAAAGAGAGACATGAGAGAGAGAGTGAGAAAGAAAGCGACTAAGAGAAGGAAAGAGAGACATGAGAGAGAGAGTGAGAAAGAAAGCGACTAAGAGAAGGAAACAGAGACATGAGAGAGAGAGTGAGAAAGAGAGCGACTAAGAGAAGGAAACAGAGACATGAGAGAGAGAGTGAGAAAGAGAGCGACTAAGAGAAGGAAAGAGAGACATGAGAGAGAGAGTGAGAAAGAGAGAGACTAAGAGAAGGAAACAGACATGAGAGAGAGAGTGAGAAAGAAAGCGACTAAGAGAAGGAAACAGACATGAGAGAGAGAGTGAGAAAGAAAGCGACTAAGAGAAGGAAAGAGAGACATGAGAGAGAGAGTGAGAAAGAAGTGACTAAGAGAAGGAAACAGAGACATGAGAGAGAGAGTGAGAAAGAGAGCGACTAAGAGAAGGAAAGAGAGACATGAGAGAGAGAGTGAGAAAGAGAGAGACTAAGAGAAGGAAACAGACATGAGAGAGAGAGTGAGAAAGAAAGCGACTAAGAGAAGGAAACAGACATGAGAGAGAGAGTGAGAAAGAAAGCGACTAAGAGAAGGAAAGAGAGACATGAGAGAGAGAGTGAGAAAGAAAGCGACTAAGAGAAGGAAACAGAGACATGAGAGAGAGAGTGAGAAAGAGAGCGACTAAGAGAAGGAAAGAGAGACATGAGAGAGAGAGTGAGAAAGAAAGCGACTAAGAGAAGGAAAGAGAGACATGAGAGAGAGAGTGAGAAAGAGAGCGACTAAGAGAAGGAAAGAGAGACATGAGAGAGAGAGTGAGAAAGAGAGACTAAGAGATGTACGAGTACCTGAGGTCGTCGAGAAGAAGCAAGCCGTGGGGGCAGTAGCAGGCGTAGGTGTGGTGACCCGGGAGACACAGGTGAGAACACCCGCCGTTCTTGAGGCTACACCCGCGCCGCTCCGACGCCAGCGGCACCGGCTGGCGCTCCCTGTGCATGCTGCAGGCCACCACCAGACAGGTTAGAGCAGGGACGGGTCTCCACACTCCACAAAGCCGCTAATTGGTTGCAAACTTCATTTCTAGAGACTGTTTAACCAGGAGGAATGTTTGGTACTCAAAGAAAGGGCTGACCAAAGATAATAAGCTTAACATATTCTGATAGGTGTACAGACCCACTTGGAAGACTGAGTGAGTGAGGAACGCTAGTCACTCGGTTAAAACTGATTTAGGATCAGCAAGTGAATTAAGACATGAACTAAGAATTGGGAGCATGGTACTGTTGAAGGGAATGGAGGTTACCCCTACGGTGATTCCGGGGGTCTAGGTCCCCGCGGCCCGGTCTCTGCCACCTGTACACACCCACCTGTGGATATCCATGGGGAAGGCAAGCCTGGTGTGGATTTCCGTGTACCCGTGCCCAGTGCGCTTATTGGCCGTGTGGATGGAGCGGGTGTGCCAGTCAGTCCAGTAGAGGTAGTCCTCGAAGACGGTGATGGCGTAGGGGTGTGGCAGCCCCTCCAGGATCTAACCGGAGTGCCAGGAATGTTCAAGTACTTCTGAAAACTCCCACTACACACAAGTCATAGTCAGCAAAAAATCCCCCCAAGACATATACCAATAACCTTTTTTGACTTGATCACTATACACAGCAAGCCAGATAATTTATTAATGTGCAATCCACATTGTGGAGAAGCTGTCTCAACTAATATGATTTCAAATATCAGTGGGGGAAGAATTAATTATGAAATAGTTATAGATATGTTCCTTCCTGACAATTGTTAGTTACTCCAAGACGAAGCCATATATGATGGTCAAGCCATACGGAGCAGGGAGTGTTCGTGATGATGATGAGTCACAATATGCAGGCGATGAGTCACAATAACGTGGCTAAATTATATTGACCAGACAACACACTAGAAGGTGAAGGGACGACGACGTTTCGGTCCGCCCCGGACCATTCTCAAATCGACTTGAGAATGGTCCAGGACGGACCGAAACGTCGTCGTCTCTTCACTTTCTAGTGTGTGGTCTGGTCAACAGTGTTCGGGATAACACTGGCTCCGTTAAGGTAGGAGAACATTACTAGTTTTCTGTGAGTATTACTAATAGGGAATTAGTCAATGTCAACAATTTATGAACACCTTTTTCCCTCTGATCAATTCAACAAATGTATGATAATCTTAAAAATGTTATTGGTAAACTGTAAAGGATATGGACACCCTCAGGCAAAGTATTGACATATTTGCTTACTTTGAGATGAGTGAAGTTTTGTTTCATTATTTGTGAAATGGGGTATATATATATCATACGTATTTCTCTGCATCTTTTATTTTTGTAATAAAATGACAACAGACACACACACACACACACACACACACACACACACACACACACACACACACACACACACACACACACACACACACACACACACACACACACACTTGGGGAACAGGTTGTGGAAGCAAATACTATTCATACTTTTAAAACTAGGTATGATAGGGAAATGGGTCAGGAGTCATTGCTGTAAACAACCGATAGCTGGAAAGGCGGGATCCAAGAGTCAATGCTGCAAGCACAAATAGGTGAGTACACACACATACACACACACACACACACACACACACACACACACACACACATCCGAGAAAAATCCGAGAAGCAACAAAAGAATCCATGGTATAATAGGGCATGTATGGAAGCGAAGAAACTGAACAAGAAGGCGTGGAGGAACTTCCGGAATAACAGAACACCAGAAAGCAGGGAGAGATACCAGAGAACCAGGAATGAGTACGTCAGGGTGAGAAGAGAAGCAGAGAAAATTTTTGAAAATGATATAGCAAACAAAGCCAAGACCGAACCAAAGCTACTCCACAGTCACATCAGAAGGAAAACAACAGTGAAAGAACAGGTATTGAAACTTAGAACAGGCGAGGACAGGTATACAGAGAATGACAGAGAGGTGTGTGAGGAACTCAACAAGAGGTTCCAGGAGGTCTTCACAATAGAACAGGGTGAGGTCACTGTGCTAGGAGAAAGGGAGGTAAACCAGGCGGCCTTGGAGGAGTTCGAAATTACGAGAGAGGAGGTCAAGAGACATCTGCTGGATCTGGATGTTAGAAAGGCGGTTGGTCCAGATGGGATCTCACCATGGGTACTGAAAGAGTGTGCAGAGGCACTTTGCTTGCCACTCTCCATAGTGTATAGTAAATCACTAGAGACGGGAGACCTACCAGAAATATGGAAGACGGCGAATGTGGTCCCAATATACAAAAAGGGCGACAGACAAGAGGCACTGAACTACAGGCCAGTGTCCTTGACTTGTATACCATGCAAGGTGATGGAGAAGATCGTGAGAAAAAACCTGGTAACACATCTGGAGAGAAGGGACTTCGTGACAAATCGCCAACATGGATTCAGGGAGGGTAAATCTTGCCTTACAGGCTTGATAGAATTCTACGATCAGGTGACACAGATTAAGCAAGAAAGAGAGGGCTGGGCGGACTGCATTTTCTTGGATTGTCGGAAAGCCTTTGACACAGTACCGCATAAGAGGCTGGTACATAAGCTGGAGAGACAGGCAGGTGTAGCTGGTAAGGTGCTCCAGTGGATAAGGGAGTATCTAAGCAATAGGAAGCAGAGAGTTACGGTGAGGGGTGAGACCTCCGATTGGCGTGAAGTCACCAGTGGAGTCCCACAGGGCTCTGTACTCGGTCCTATCTTGTTTCTGATATATGTAAATGATCTCCCGGAGGGTATCGATTCATTTCTCTCAATGTTTGCGGACGATGCTAAAATTATGAGAAGGATTAAAACAGAAGAGGACTGTTTGAGGCTTCAAGAAGACCTAGACAAGCTGAAGGAATGGTCGAACAAATGGTTGTTAGAGTTTAACCCAACCAAATGTAATGTAATGAAGATAGGTGTAGGGAGCAGGAGGCCAGATACAAGGTATCATCTGGGAGAGGAAATTCTTCAGGAGTCAGAGAAGGAAAAGACTTGGGGGTTGATATCACGCCAGACCTGTCTCCTGCAGCACATATCAAGCGGATAACATCAGCGGCATATGCCAGGCTGGCCAACATACGAACGGCATTCAGAAACTTGTGTAAAGAATCATTCAGAACTTTGTATACCACATATGTCAGGCCAATCCTGGAGTATGCAGCCCCAGCATGGAGTCCATATCTAGTCAAGGATAAGACTAAACTGGAAAAGGTTCAAAGGTTTGCCACCAGACTAGTACCCGAGCTGAGAGGTATGAGCTACGAGGAGAGACTACGGGAATTAAACCTCACTTCGCTGGAAGACAGAAGAGTTAGGGGGGACATGATCACCACATTCAAGATTCTGAAGGGGATTGATAGGGTAGATAAAGACAGTCTATTTAACACAAGGGGAACACGCACAAGGGGACACAGGTGGAAACTGAGTGCCCAAATGAGCCACAGAGATATTAGAAAGAACTTTTTTAGTGTCAGAGTGGTTGACAAATGGAATGCATTAGGGGGTGATGTGGTGGAGGCTGACTCCATACACAGTTTCAAGTGTAGATATGACAGAGCCCGATAGGCTCAGGAATCTGTACACCTGTTGATTGACGGTTGAGAGGCGGGACCAAAGAGCCAGAGCTCAACCCCCGCAAACACAACTAGGTGAGTACAACTAGGTGAGTACACACACCATGGCGCCGACGCCATGATGCCCGAAACATGACTCCCACACCACGGTGTGGCGCCACACCTCTGCCTCTCACCTTCCTCCTGTTAGTGCCATCAATCTGTGCTGCCTCTATGACATGCTCCTTGGCATCGACCCAGTAGAGGGTCTCCGTGGGATAGTCAATGGTGATGCCATTAGGCCAGTGCAGACCCTCGCCAATGATGACCTGCCTCTCCGACCCGTCCAGGTAGGCCCGCTCGATCCTTGGGTTGGAGCCTTGTAGAGAGAGAGAGAGAGTGATCAGTGAGACACGAAGCACTTGGCACTGATTTTGGCACTTACAAAACACTTAGGTCGGGCCTAACACCGACCCGTCTAGGGTAAAAGTTCATAATTCATAACGAAAAAAATTCCCAGGAATAATGCTGTGGAGGCTAGACCTTTGGCAAGCCGCCGACTCCCTGCCCCCGTCGAGGCGGCTAGAGATGGCGGTCCCTCAGGGTAAATGAAGTCAGGTATATTCAGTTATTCAATCACACAATGGACTTTGCAAAGCCTTGCCTTACAAGGACTTTGCAAGACAAAGCCTTGCCTTACAAGGACTTTCCAAGACAAAGCTTTGCATGTCGGAAAATCCGACACCATTTAATATATCATACAGACAGATAATAATTTCTGCTGTATTACCAACAAGTTACCCATAGAAAACGTAACTTGTAGTGGAATTACCATCTAAAGAAAACGGGATATCATCACCACATACTATTATAATTCACCACCTATTATGGTGGGAATTATTCTTAAATACATAAGTCTTTGGACTTTACCATCATAAACCATCTTATATAAATTAACTTAATTATCAATATTAAAGTAGAGTAAATGTGACCCTTCTATCACTTTCTGAAATGTGGACAATGTAAGCCAGGCGTCAGAGTGAGGAGGAGGGCAGCCATTGTTGTTTATTGAGACCAGAGGCTCACACGGGAGCAAATTCGGCTCCTGTTAAATTTACTTGGACGTAGTGTTATGGAACCCAAAGGTGTACCATTGTCAACACGCTGTCTACAAATACAAGTTAAGTGTCTATCCGAAACCCGTTTATCATTCATTTATGGCCATTAATGTCAGGATATAGGGTTAGCCGGTTAGAACGCGAAATCGCCTCATACTAAAGGTAATTAAGCCAGGTCTTTAATGTTCTATGTACTGTATAGTGTTTTCTCTGAAATACTTGTCATATATAGGATTCTGGCTTCACAGCTAGCACACTTTTGACAGGTCAAGACGAGGATGCAAGATTTGTGCACCAGTTACTGGGGGATATGGAAGCTACCTCAAAGAGGATAATTTGGTGTCTACACCCTAGTTATACCTGGTGGACTAACCTGCTGTACTATAAGATAAGGAACCTCATCAATGTATGTAGTTATTTCTGTAATTTGATTGGCTGCATACATATAAATATAAACCCCCCTAATGTGTAGAGGATCGATTTGTGAGATTATTGCAGAAATACAGTCCACTTATCATTATACAAATTGCTATCGAAGTATATAAATTAACGTAAATATAAATTCATATAAATTAAATAAATATAAATCTCACAGGTCGGTTCCCACATTATTTGGACCTTCGGAACCGGAATATTCGATCCCTTGAACCCACATTTGGTCATCTTAGTACCGGATGAACCAGTTATCCAGTGGATTCATTAAATATACTAGTGCAGTGTTATTTAAACAAAGGCCAGCCAGTCAAAGACGGAAGCGTAGCCTCGAGGGAGCTCAGGAGCCTCCCTCAGCCGAGTTCAGCCTTAGTCAGCGGTTTCATGCACACCCACAGATATTTGGTGGCGTGTTATTTCGTGAAATGACAGCGCTAATATAGAAACCAGCCAAATTAGTGACTGTGTCGCGAGATTGTTCACGGATTTCGTGGTGTTACATTTCGCGAGAGATTATCTACGAATTTTGTGGAGTTTATTTCGCGAGGTCACTAATAATATTTAATACTTCTAGATAATATTAGAAGTTTCATAGAGGCTAATTAAGAGGCTATTATCAATAATTGTGTATATTATTTCTCCAAAATAGAGAATTATTTAATATATACTGCACTAGTGTTCTCACAGTATATTTACTAATTGCCAACCCACAACAGGGTAGGATATTAACCATTGACTAGTTGAACTATTTTCGTTCATCCTAGTCCCATTATTACCATAGTCAGTTGTACTATATTGATTAACCTAGCACCATTAATGAATGGTCCAGACCCTATTTTGGGTGTAATTTTTATCAACTCGAGTTGAGTTGTGTATATTATAATTTACTTATGATCATTACACCTTTGAGTGATTAATTAGTGTCAATTCCATCCTAGGGTGATATAGAAGAGCTAACCTAAAGGTACTTCCAGTGACACTGGTTTATCACTCAAATTATTAGTGTGTATGATTGTATATATATAATGTGTATTAATTTTAAGTGCTAACCTCTAGTAGAGGTAGGATTATTGCCTAGTGAGTGCAGAATTTAACCCTAGGCTACCATTAGAGCTTGTTCAGTATTATGAGCAGCCCAAGTACAAGCCCCACAAGGCTTCACCAACGAGCCAGTATGGATAATGCAGGGAGAATGAAAAGAACCCTTGCAGGTCTTAAAGGCCACTTAACAAGACAGATCAAGAAATGTGAAGATTTGTCACAACAATCTCAAGTTGATTATGCTGACCTGGAAAGCTATTATCAAGCAGCTGCAGGTAAATTTGAGCAAATCAAATGCCAAATAGCTGTCCTTGTGGGGACAGACTACTACCATCAATTCATCGGTAGCCCTACTAAATATCAGGGCATAACCATGTTAAAGTCTGCAGGAGGTAAATTACTCTCAGGCCCAGTATCAAGCCTGAGGAGACCTATGCCTGCAGATAAACAATACCAGTAGAGATCTAAATTTGTCAGCTGATTATATTTCTCCAGTAGCATTATACTAAGGAGATTACAGCTGACTATAGTAACAGAGGTTGATGTTAGTATCATCATTTAAAGCTGAAGATGAGTTCATGAGGCCTCAGTGGCAAATCAGTGAACAGTAGCCTAAAACAGCTACAAGTCACTGCGACCAATGTCACTGAACCCACTGCAGTCTCAGAACCATACTTTACTTTAATGATGAGCTATTCAATCTTCTGAATCAATTAATTAAATTAAACCCCAGTAAATCTGATGACTGATTTGATACATTTATTATTTAATCAAGATGTATTCCATGGGCCTCAGTGTTTATATATCAGTGACCAGTTACCTGAAGAAACTTCAAGTTATATCTAATGTCACTGATCTCACTGCAGTCCCTGAATCATACTTGACTGTAGTACTTGATCACATTCAGTCTTCTGGGTTAAATAATATGTAATAAGGCTTGAATATTAGCCTTTCAAGAGTTGACAGGGAAATGAAATCGCATTAGACTTCTAACCCCTGCAACTCTAGTACGGGACATCCGTCCTGTACGAACAGACACACAAATGTGTGATTACTAACTACTAACATCAAATTAATCTAATAATTCGAAGGAGGAGTATCGGTGTTCGTCTGTTCTAATTAGGACTTCGACCCGTGAGCAGCCCCCTGGGGAATTATGTCGGAAAATCCGACACCATTTAATATATCATACAGACAGATAATAATTTCTGCTGTATTACCAACAAGTTACCCATAGAAAACGTAACTTGTAGTGGAATTACCATCTAAAGAAAACGGGATATCATCACCACATACTATTATAATTCACCACCTATTATGGTGGGAATTATTCTTAAATACATAAGTCTTTGGACTTTACCATCATAAACCATCTTATATAAATTAACTTAATTATCAATATTAAAGTAGAGTAAATGTGACCCTTCTATCACTTTCTGAAATGTGGACAATGTAAGCCAGGCGTCAGAGTGAGGAGGAGGGCAGCCATTGTTGTTTATTGAGACCAGAGGCTCACACGGGAGCAAATTCGGCTCCTGTTAAATTTACTTGGACGTAGTGTTATGGAACCCAAAGGTGTACCATTGTCAACACGCTGTCTACAAATACAAGTTAAGTGTCTATCCGAAACCCGTTTATCATTCATTTATGGCCATTAATGTCAGGATATAGGGTTAGCCGGTTAGAACGCGAAATCGCCTCATACTAAAGGTAATTAAGCCAGGTCTTCATGTTCTATGTACTGTATAGTGTTTTCTCTGAAATACTTGTCATATATAGGATTCTGGCTTCACAGCTAGCACACTTTTGACAGGTCAAGACGAGGATGCAAGATTTGTGCACCAGTTACTGGGGGATATGGAAGCTACCTCAAAGAGGATAATTTGGTGTCTACACCCTAGTTATACCTGGTGGACTAACCTGCTGTACTATAAGATAAGGAACCTCATCAATGTATGTAGTTATTTCTGTAATTTGATTGGCTGCATACATATAAATATAAACCCCCCTAATGTGTAGAGGATCGATTTGTGAGATTATTGCAGAAATACAGTCCACTTATCATTATACAAATTGTTATTGAAGTATATAAATTAACGTAAATATAAATTCATATAAATTAAATAAATATAAATCTCACAGGTCGGTTCCCACATTGCAAGCCTTTGAAACCAGAGTTGGTCTTCCCATATGAGACTGAAAATTTAAATGACTTTGGCTGATATAAGATGATTTTTAGGGATACTTGAAACTTAAGATTCTCGGTTAAATTAATAATTGCAATTTATTTACTATAAACTTGTTTAAACTAACCAAACTATAAATGTACACTTATTATGAATAAAGCATTTCAGTTGCAATCATTATCAGGAGGACCTCTCTACTCACCCCAATCAGTCCAGACGAGGAGGTCCCTAGCAGGGTGGAGAAGAAGGGCGCGGGGCTTCTGCAGGTTGGTCCACACCAGCGGCCTGCGACAAGACCTGTACACACACACCAGTTTCCAGTTGATTGACAGTTGAGAGGCGGGACCAAAGAGCCAAAGCTCAACCCCCGCAAGCACAATTTGGTGAGTACAATTAGGTGAGTACACCAGTACGTGTTTACTCTGGATGGCTTCTACACACTCCAGACTGCTCCTTCATGCTCCAGTCTGCTTCCATATGCTCCAGTTTACTCCCACACATCCCAGCCTGCTCCTACACAACCCAGCCTGCTCCTACACAACCCAGCCTGCTCCTACACATCCCAGCCTGCTCCTACACATCCCAGTCTGCTCCTACACAACCCAGCCTGCTCCTACACAACCCAGCCTGCTCCTACACAACCCAGCCTGCTCCTACACAACCCAGCCTGCTCCTACACAACCCAGCCTGCTCCTACACAACCCAGCCTGCTCCTACACATCCCAGCCTGCTCCTACACATCCCAGCCTGCTCCTACACATCCCAGCCTGCTCCTACACATCCCAGCCTGCTCCTACACATCCCAGCCTGCTCCTACACATCCCAGCCTGCTCCTACACATCCCAGCCTGCTCCTACACATCCCAGCCTGCTCCTACACATCCCAGCCTGCTCCTACACATCCCAGCCTGCTCCTACACATACCAGCCTGCTCCTACACAACCCAGCCTGCTCCTACACATCCCAGCCTGCTCCTACACATCCCAGCCTGCTTCTACACAACCCAGCCTGCTCCTACACAACCCAGCCTGCTCCTACACATCCCAGCCTGCTCCTACACATCCCAGCCTGCTCCTACACAACCCAGCCTGCTCCTACACATCCCAACCTGCTCCTACACATCCCAGCCTGCTCCTACACAACCCAGCCTGCTCCTACACATCCCAGCCTGCTCCTACACATCCCAACCTGCTCCTACACATCCCAACCTGCTCCTACACATCCCAACCTGCTCCTACACATCCCAGCCTGCTCCTACACAACCCAGCCTGCTCCTACACATCCCAGCCTGCTCCTACACAACCCAACCTGCTCCTACACAACCCAGCCTGCTCCTACACAACCCAGCCTGCTCCTACACATCCCAGCCTGCTCCTACACAACCCAGCCTGCTCCTACACATCCCAGCCTGCTCCTACACAACCCAACCTGCTCCTACACATCCTAGCACGACATATATAACACAAAATTATTATACAATTACAAATAAATGAATGTATTAGGATATGTGAGTAAAGTGCGTTCCTGACCCGTCAAGATGGGAGACTTCTATCCTTCTAGTGACGCTGTCTAGCCAGTAGACGTGATCGTTGACCCAGTCCACTGCTATCCCGCTTGGCATACGCAGCCCCCACCGTACGATAGCTGTGGGGAAGTCAAATACGTAAGTATATATACATATATGTATGTACATATATTCTAGATGAACACGTTGTACTGAACCGGGTGAGAATAGCTTGAGCTACCTCATCCCTTTGTGTGTATTTATACAGTAATAAACTTATATTAATTGAACAAATCCACAAGGGACGTGACGAGGATTCGAACCTGCGTCCGGGAGCATCCCAGACATTGCCTATCTTATATCAATTGAATTTGTCTCCCGCAGTCCCCCTCTCTCCCTCCCTGGGACCAGATTCATGAAGCAGTTACGCAAGGACTTACGAACCTGTACATCTATTTTCAATCTTTGGCGGCTTTGTTTACACTTATTAAACAGTTAGTGAGCTCCGAAGCACCAGGAGGGTGTTTATAACAATAACAACAGTTAATTGGCAAGTTTTCATGCTTGTAAACTGTTTAATAAATGTAACCAAAGGCGTCAAAGATTGAGGGGAAGATGTACACGTTCGTAAGTACTTGCGTATCTGCTTCGTGAATCTGGCCCCTGGTCCCCAGGCTGACCTTTCTCGCCGGAGCCGTTGAGGAAGGCCCTCATGATGGCGTCCAGACTAACATCGGTCCAGAAGATGAGGGAGAGGTTGTAGTGGTAGTCGATGGAGATGGCGTTCTGCAGGCCCTTGGCCACGCTCGTGTAGCCCCGACCGTCGATGTTAATCTGCGGCCCAGCGAGCGAGCCAGCGAGCCAGGGGGGACAAGTACAGGTTACACTGGTCTAGTGTATAAGTGTATAAGTATAGCTCTCTGATCATTCTCTTAACACTCCTTAATATAGCAGAGAAGTGTACAGCACAAGGGAGAACACTGGACTAACATCATCCTCAAGTGTGAGAAGGAACACACACATATTTCACTGACTATTTTTTTTTAGATTTGACAGGCATTTGTGGTGGGCCGGGTGCTGATACTCAAGTGTTGATGAGTGTAGGGACTGTGGCCCCTAGGCTGTGTCCCTACACACATGAGTGTAGCGTCAACTTAACACAGACACCTCAGTACACATGAAAAACATAATCCGGACCCTTCACACCATGAGTGTGGTCAAGGGGTGATGGCTGGAGTGCGACTCCAGTCCGGTAAAGAGGGACTTACCTCTCTAATATCAGCCCGGTTAGCGAAGATGAGTCTGGGGAGGGTCCCCTGAGCCTTACAGGTGAAGGAGTCCGGTCTGAGGGAGTAGCCGACGACACACGAACACCTGAAGCTGCCCTCGGAGTTCTCACACAGCTGCGAACACGGCCGGAACAGCGAGCACTCGTCCACGTCCATACACCTGCACACACACAAGAACACGTTGACCATCGGTAGAACACACACCTGCAGCCGACACGTGTGTGTCTAGACACATGTGTGTGCCTAGACAACCTCTCGTCTTAAATAATGATACCATTAAAGATTGTAAATTGAATGTACTAAACATGTACTGTTGCCTCCAGAGAAAGTCTACTTTCTACTGTGACTTTCGGAGAGGGCTCAAGAAAGTAGGCAGGAGCCAAACCTGACATATTATAGGTCTAGTATTTTACGTTATGCCTAATATTGGATATAATAGGCCTAGAATTACTAACGTAAGCCCAAAACAGGTTTGGATATATTTATGCTTAGTCTGTTTCAGTGTTGTTACGCCCTCTAGAGGTCCAGTAGCACAAGACTAGTGCCCATGGTGCCCCATGCTCCCCCAAGACTAGTGCCCATGGTGGCCCCATGCTCCCCCAAGACTAGTGCCCATGGTGGCCCCATGCTCGCCCCAAGACTAGTGCCCATGATGACATTAACCCAAACCAAAACATGGCCTCAAACCAAGACTCATCAAAGCGTGTCCGGTCAAGCACGTAAGAGCTGAGGGCTCAAGGGGGACTCAGAGGAGGACATAATATGAAGAGGTAATCACCGGGCAGCAGCAACAGCAGCAGCAGCAGCAGCAGCAGCAGCAGCAGCAGCAGCAGCAGCAGCAGCAGCAGCAGCAGCAGCAGCAGCAGCAGCAGCAGCAGCAGCAGCCCGCTGACTCCCAGCCCTCAGCTCCGCCACACCAACCTGAGGCTGGCCATCCTCCCGACACTTCCGACAGCAAAGCTGTGTATTTACCCACCTGAGCACTTGCGACGGTAAGCACTGTGTTTTCGCGCCTGAGCACATGGGGTGGCCGTCAAGCACCGGAAGGCGACAGTATCTCACCGCGGACACATTGTACACTAGCATAGTCTCCCTCCCCGGAACTCGACACTTTCGAACACTCCCGCAGCTACAATGAGGCGTGACCAAACTGCCACACAGCCAACACGACAAATATTCATATTCGTATTTTAATTTTTTTTTTTTTGAGATATATACAAGAGTTGTTACATTCTTGTACAGCCACTATTACGCGTAGCGTTTCGGGCAGGTCCCTGGAATACGATCCCCTGCCGCGAAGAATCGTTTTTTCATCCAAGTACACATTTTACTGTTGCGTTAAACAGAGGCTACAGTTAAGGAATTGCGCCCAGTAAATCCTCCCCGGCCAGGATACGAACCCATGACATAGCGCTCGCGGAACGCCAGGCGAGTGTCTTACCACTACACCACGGAGACTGTTAAAACTATATGTAAAACTATATTCCTGCCTGCATGTAATAGTGCATGTAATGGCAGGTGTATTTACTGAACGTCACTGTTGGCTGGCTGTACATATTTTGTACTTATAATACATATGATTTTGGACTATCTAATGCAGTTATTAGAAACATACAAATTAAAGAAATTAATTCAGATTTAGAAGAACTAAGAAATGCACAGAGACCTGAAAGCTGCAGTATTAAAAGTTATGACAAGTTCTGTAATAATAGGTATTTGTATGGTCAGCACAGTAACCGGACCAGGCAATGTGATGTAGTAATTGCGCGAATTCGCCTTGGCTATAGACACATCTGGCAGGTTAGTGAGGCTGAGCCACTACCAGAATATTCAGATTGTAAACTCTGTGATAAACCTTTAATGCATTCACTAGAACACTATATTGATGAATGTGAAACCGTAAAGGACTTTAGACCTCCTGGCCTATTGTACCACCAACTGTGTAACTATTTTATTGACTCAGGTGTTCTGGACGACATCCTAACAATTTACCCAAAATTTGCTTGTCCATTTTAAAGAATGAAGAACAATTTCTACTTATATTCTAAGCTGTATCACTTATGAACCCATCCCTGCACTTGTGTGGCAGTGCACAATAGAAAGTTGTTTTCACATATCCACACATTAAAACATTGATTGTAACCATGATATATATGTGCTTCAGCCTACAGTTTAGGCCTATTGTCTTATGTATGACCCTCTGTCCTGCGCGACAGTGAATACTAGCATTAACCTCAATTTAATAAGACTATCAAAATCCTCAGATTAGGCAAAATTGTAATTAATTTTGTCAATAAAGATGTTAATAATAATAAATTTCAAACGAAAACGGCAGATAATAGACAACAAATGAAACAATAGCCTATATATGTAAATGTGTTAGTGAATGTGGCCAAAAAGGTTTGATCAATGATTCTAGCAGAACATTTGTATTTATGTTTTTTTTTTTTTGTGTAATTGAAAAAATAACTCCAAAGTTCATTTTACAATGTTTAAGGGCTTGACGCGTGTTGCGAAAGGACACGTTTCACTAAGGTACGCCTAACAAACCTCGTAGACACTGGGAGTGTGAATACCAACAGAGTAACAGTTGTATATAATTCATACAGGTACGAAGGTGAACTGGGGCCAGATTCACGAAAGCACTTACGCAAGCACTTACGAACCTGTACACCTTTCCTCAATCTTTGGCGGCTTTGTTTACAATTATTAAACAGTTAATGAGCTCCGAAGCACCAGGAGGCTGTTTACAACAATAACAACAGTTGAATGGGACGTTTTCATGCTTGTAAACTGTTTAATAAATGTAACCAAAGCCGTCAAAGATTGAGGAAAGATGTACACGTTCGTAAGTGCTTTCGTGAATCTGGCCCCAGGTCGCCCTATCGAGGGGACTTAATTGTTGCTGGTGTTGGGGAGGTGTTTTGATCCTGTACTTCGAATAGTAGGATCCCTTGATTGTTTCAAGCGTAGGTTAGACATATATATATATGCATGATATTGGGTGGATATAAATAGGAGCTGTCTCGTATGGGCCAATAGGCCTTCTGCAGGTGCCATCATTCTTATGTTCTTATGAAAGTACAACAATCAGAAGTACACTAAGGTGAAACTGGGGATTGTAAACAATCTCAAGGAAAAGTATGATTTATTTATTTATTTACTTATATAGAAGAAGGTACATTGGGTTTGTGAGAATACATAGCATAGTACAGTAATTGCACTCTTGTAAAGCCACTAGTACGCGCAGCGTTTCGGGCAGAAACGCAGAAACATGATGAAACAAAGAAGCATCGGAAGCCATTGACGACAACCGGAAAAGCTATGACTCTCGACTCCTCCGCAGAAACCACTTGAGTGCCAAGACACACGCAAGACATCCAAAGTTGAGTGTGACCGATGCACGCCCGTCCTCTTAGATGGCCGCTTATGTTGATTCATACAGTCTCCAGCAAGGTTGAGGCATCACTCTTGAGGGGGAAAACGCCGGACGTAATCCTTCAAGTGAGAATTTTCTGCCATAAATTCCAATGTAACGGAAGAAGACTCTCAGGCATGCACGAATGAGCACACGTGTTCACATCACTCCCTCTCAGACCAGCCGCTCCCAACCAGATCCGCTTCCAGCCAAATATACGTAAATGGACCAAATGGTCCGAACCTTGAAGAATGCGAAAATGCAAATCTGCCGACAGATTCACTAAGGCCGACCCGCTCACCCGACCTAACAGAGTCTAAGAAAGTCTCTGAGTCCCTGAAAGTCCTGAGAGTCTCTGACACGTCCCAGGGCGTGTCAGACCCAGGTACGTAGAACTGAAGAATATTGAAGAATGTTCAAGACCAGGACGCCGGGCATCTTCCCCCTAGGGTATGTTTCCGTACACTTCTGTCGGTCCCACAGGACCAGCAGGCCGCTGACACTTCAACCTACACCTGGAACAACCAGCCAGCAGGCAGCCTCACTCCTCAACCTACACCTGGAACAAACAGCCAGCAGGCAGCCCTCACACCTGGAACAACCAGCCAGCAGGCCGCCCTCACACCTGGAACAACCAGCCAGCAGGCCGCCCTCACACCTGGAACAACTGGCCAGCAGGCCGCCCTCACACCTGGAACAACTGGCCAGCAGGCCGCCCTCACACCTGGAACAACTGGCCAGCAGGCCGCCTCACACCTGGAACAACTGGCCAGCAGGCCGCCCTCACACCTGTAACAACTGGCCAGCAGGCCGCCTTCACACCTGGAACAACTGGCCAGCAGGCCGCCCTCACACCTGGAACAACTGGCCAGCAGGCCGCCCTCACACCTGGAACAACTGGCCAGCAGGCCGCCTCACACCTGGAACAACTGGCCAGCAGGCCGCCCTCACACCTGGAACAACTGGCCAGCAGGCCGCCTCACACCTGGAACAACCAGCCAGCAGGCCGCCCTCACACCTGGAACAACTGGCCAGCAGGCCGCCCTCACACCTGGAACAACTGGCCAGCAGGCCGCCCTCACACCTGGAACAACTGGCCAGCAGGCCGCCTCACACCTGGAACAACCAGCCAGCAGGCAGCCTCACACCTGGAACAACCAGCCAGCAGGCAGCCCTCACACCTGGAACAACTGGCCAGCAGGCAGCCTCACACCTGGAACAACCAGCCAGCAGGCAGCCTCACACCTGGAACAAAAGTCACACAAGTCAAGGAGCTTCCGCACCAAAGGACTTGCAAAACTAAATGTTTATCTTGCTATCATTCTTAAATATACTCGGCTCTTTCTTAGACTTTGAATGACTTCCTTTGTTATTTATTCTTCCTGTCTGAGCTCCTTTAAAATACTTGTTGAATATTGAGCCAAAAGCCTGTTTTGGTTTTGTTTTTTTCCGCACACAGCAAAAGCCTCACTTGCACTATAATATAAATTCGTTTATCGGGGACAGGAAGCCTGTGCCTATATATTTTTTAGTCTTGTATCGAGGTTTCCCCCTAGGGAAAGAAGCCGGTCGGCCGAGCGGATAGCACGCTGGACTTGTGATCCTGTGGTCCTGGGTTCGGCGATAGGGGCCTCGTAGCCTGGTGGATAGCGCGCAGGACTCGTAATTCTGTGGCGCGGGTTCGATTCCCGCACGAGGCAGAAACAAATGGGAAAAGTTTCTTTCACCCTGAATGCCCCTGTTACCTAGCAGTAAATAGGTACCTGGGTGTTAGTCAGCTGTTACGGGCTGCTTCCTGGGGGTGGAGGCCTGGTCGAGGACCGGGCCGCGGGGACACTAAAGCCCCGAAATCATCTCAAGATAACCTCAAGAATGGGCAGTTTCTTTCACCCTATGCCCCTGTTACCTAGCAGTAAAATAGGTACCTGGGTGTTAGTCAGCTGTTACGGGCTGCTTCCTGGGGGTGGAGGCCTTGTCGAGGACCGGGCCGCGGGGAGACTAAAGCCCCGAAATCATCTCAAGATAACCTCAAGATAGGGTCAAAGTAATGACCCTCCCCAGGATGCAATAAAAAAAAAACAATATTTTATGTGTGATGCTCTAAGTTGATGTTAAAAAGTTTAGTTAAAAAGTTAAAAGTTAAGTTAAAAAGCAAAGTTAAAAACCAATAAAACCCCACAATAGTTAGTAACAGCTGATTGATTAACAGTTGAGAGGCGGGACGAAAGAGCAGAACTCAACCCCCGCAAGCACAACAAGGGGAATACAACTAGGTGAATACAACAGTTACCTGTCGGGAAATCCAACCCGAGATCACAGACAGCGAGTCGAGAATGAAGCCGACTGTGCTACGATGCCCTTATATGTTGTGTTCTTTAATATATCCAACCCGTTCTCGCACCTGCTTACAGTCATAGGTTAAGTAATAATTGTAAATAAGAAGCAATAAGATGCTTATCATAACATACTAAGAAGGTTAGGTGAGGTCGGTGTTTTCTATGAAGCTTTTCAAGGTAAACTAAAATATTCACAATCAATTAGTATGTCACATATGCACTTATTAAATAAGCCAATATTGACTTTAGGCAAGTGCGAGAACGGGTTAATATATCCTACGTGAATTTTGTGTTGGAGTCAAAATAAAACCGCTTATGTCAGTCCTTTGTATTATACGAGTAGCGGAGGTAGTTTAGATCAGTAAGTAGGAAGTAATCTCCGGTTACCTTGCTACTTGCGTAAACCTCAGTATTCTCAACAATATTTAAGATTTGGATATCTTATGGTGTCTCTTAGCAGCTGGAGGCATCTTAGAGCATCTCCCAGCTGCTGGAGGCATCTTAGAGCATCTCCCAGCTGCTAGAGGCATCTTAGAGCATCTCCCAGCTGCTGGAGGCATCTTAGAGCATCTCCCAGCTGCTGGAGGCATCTTAGAGCATCTCCCAGCTGCTAGAGGCATCTTAGAGCATCTCCCAGCTGCTAGAGGCATCTTAGAGCATCTCCCAGCTGCTGGAGGCATCTTAGAGCATCTCCCAGCTGCTGGAGGCATCTTAGAGCATCTCCCAGCTGCTGGAGGCATCTTAGAGCATCTCCCAGCTGCTGGAGGCATCTTAGAGCATCTCCCAGCTGCTGGAGGCATCTTAGAGCATCTCCCAGCTGCTAGAGGCATCTTAGAGCATCTCCCAGCTGCTGGAGGCAACTTAGAGCGTCTCCCAGCTGCTGGAGGCAACTTAGAGCGTCTCCCAGCTGCTGGAGGCAACTTAGAGCGTCTCTCAACTGCTGGGAAAATCTTAAGAGCGTCTCTCAGCGGCTAGGGACGTCTCTTAGCTGGTGAGAATGTCTTAAGAGCGTCTCTCAGCGGCTAGGGACATCTCTTAGCTGCTGGGAATGTCTTAAGAGCGACTCTCAGCGGCTAGGGACGTCTCTTACCTGCTGGGACGGCTTAAGACCGTATCATACCACCAACCACAACACCAGCCTCGCACGTACAGCTACACAGAGGCGTGATACCGGAGCGTATCTGGGCGTTACATTAAAAAATATATATATTTCGATCGCAGTCAGAAAAGATTTGACCACATCCTGACACGGGATGTATATAGGGCAGAGGTGGGGCGAGGTGAGGTGTATATAGGACCGCTTGGTGCTGGTGTCACGACCCCTCTCTCTCTCTCTCTCCTCCATCTGAGGTGCTCCTTGACGTCTTGCTGTCTGTCTCGAGCACATGTTAGTCTCAGATCAGGAGCTGACTTTGATAGTTCCTGCTCCGGACGTGGCTACACACCTGAAGAGCTCCTGACGTGGCCACACACCTGAAGAGCTCCGGACGTGGCCACATACCTGAAGACCTCCTACAACTGCTCCAGACGAGGCCACACACCTGAAGAGCTCCTGACGTGGCCACATACCTGAAGAGCTTCTACACCTGCTCCTGACTTGGCCACATACCTGAGGACCTCCTACACCTGCTCCAGACGAGGCCACACACCTGAAGAGCTCCTGACGTGGCTACATACCTGAAGAGCTTCTACATCTGCTCCAGACGAGGCCACACACCTGAAGACCTCCTACACCTGCTCCAGACGAGGCCACACACCTGAGGACCTCCTACACCTGCTCCAGACGAGGCCACACACCTGAGGACCTCCTACACCTGCTCCAGACGAGGCCACACACCTGAAGACCTCCTGACGTGGCCACACACCTGAAGACCTCCTACAACTGCTCCTGACGAGGCCATACACTTGAAGAGCTCCGGACGTGGCCACATACCTGAGGACCTCCTATATCTGCTCCAAACGAGGCCACACACCTGAGGACCTCCCACACCTGCTTCAGACGAGGCCACACACCTGAGGACCTCCTACACCTGCTCCAGACGAGGCCACACACCTGAGGACCTCCTACACCTGCTCCAGACCAGGCCACACACCTGAGGACCTCCCACACCTGCTCCAGACGAGGCCACACACCTGAGGACCTCCCACACCTGCTCCAGACGAGGCCACACACCTGAGGACCTCCTACACCTGCTCCAGACGAGGCCACACACCTGAGGACCTCCCACACCTGCTCCAGACCAGGCCACACACCTGAGGACCTCCTACACCTGCTCCAGACGTCGTGGCCACACACCTGAGGACCTCCTACACCTGCTCCAGACGAGGCCACACACCTGAGGACCTCCTACACCTGCTCCAGACCAGGCCACACACCTGAGGACCTCCTACACCTGCTCCAGACGTCGTGGCCACACCCGAGGAACAGTTCCAGACGATGTTGTAATCAGATTATACCCAAGAGCAGCAAGGCCTTTAGCCAGCACCCTGCTGGTGGCACCCCTCCCGGAGCACCCGTGTGTTGCTGTTGCTGCTGCACCACCATGAAGGTGGTGACGCAGGTGCTGCTGACGGCGACGCTGCTGGGGGCCGCGTGTGCTCGCCCCCAGCACAGGGGCGCCACCAGTGGGGCCCTCATGGACAAGCTCCTGGTGGCCCTGCAGGAGATGCTTGGTGAGTGTCAAGCTCCAGCAGGCATCGATGTATAGGTTGTATCTTGCAAACACATGCATTATATATGTATATAAACACGTCTCATTAATCATACTGCAATGATTATGTTAGTCACGTCAGTGTTTCACAATCTGACTGTTAGCGACTGTTGACCAGACCACACACTAGAAGTTGAAGGGACGACGACGTTTCGGTCCGTCCTGGACCATTCACAATCGACTTGAGAATGGTCCAGGACGGAGCGAAACGTCGTCGTCCCTTCAACTTCTAGTGTGTGGTCTGGTCAACATACTTCAGCCACGTTATTGTGACTCGTTAGAGCGTGTTTAGTGTGAATAGTTGAGTGATACTAACAGTGGGTTAGCCCGGGTTGTGTGTGGGTGGGAGAGCGCCTGCGTCGCCCACACCAACACCGCCTGCTTCAGGAGCCCCGGGGACGCTGCCAGGCTGGTCGTGGCCTTCACCAACTGCAGGAGTGTTGTCCCCGCCACCTTCATCGGTTCCCCTGGTGAGTCTACCAACCCCCCGCCCCCTCCACTCTGCTTCAGGTAAGTCTTCCAAGACTTCCGTCTCTCTTGGTAAGTCTTTCTTCCGCCTGCTAGGTGTCTCCCCCCCGCCTCGAAGTCTGTGACAGTGTATTCACCTAGTTGTGCTTGCGGGGGTTGAGCTTTGGCTCTTTGGTCCCGCTTCTCAACCGTCAATCAATTGATGTACAGATTCCTGAGGCATGTGAGTGTGTATGTGTACTCATCTAGATGTGCTTGCGGGGGTTGAGCTTTGGTTCTTTGGTCCCGCCACTCAACTGTTAATTAACCAGTGTGTGTGTGTGTGTGTGTGTGTGCGTGTGCGTGTGCGTGTGCGTGTGCGTGTGCGTGTGTGTGTGTGTGTGTGTGTGTGTGTGTTTACTAGTTGTGTTTTTGCGGGGGTTGAGCTTTGCTCTTTCGGCCCGCCTCTCAACTGTCAATCAACTGTTTACTAACTACTATTTTTTTTTTCCACACCACACACACACACCCCAGGAAGCAGCCCGTGACAGCTAACTAACTCCCAGGTACCTATTTACTGCTAGGTAACAGGGGCACTTAGGGTGAAAGAAACTTTGCCCATTTGTTGCTGCCTCGTGCGGGAATCGAACCCGCGCCACAGAATTACGAGTCCTGCGCGCTATCCACCAGGCTACGAGGCCCCTGTGTGTGTGTGTGTGTGTGTGCGTGTGTGTGTGTCCTGCTGTAAAATACATCAAGCATATAACAAACAATAACAAGCAAAGTGCATCGCAAGATGATGAGTCACAGCTAGCAAAACTTCACTACAATAAAACGATACTAAACAGCATTACTATATTTTTCACAAGCAGACGAGAAGTCGTCTCAAGTTGTAAAGCCTTAAGGCACCCAGACCGAACTCCCACTTCCGTCTCTCAGACATCTTACTCAACCAATACTCACTCTCCCACCTGCGTCTCTCACAATGTTAACACACACGAGGAACACATTAACACACACAGTAAGAACACATTAACACACACAGTAAGAACACATTAACACACAGTAAGAACACATTAACACACAGTAAGAACACATTAACACACACAGTAAGAACACATTAACTCACACAGTAAGAACACATTAACACACAGTAAGAACACATTAACACACAGTAAGAACACATTAACACACACAGTAAGAACACATTAACTCACACAGTAAGAACACATTAACACACAGTAAGAACACATTAACACACAGTAAGAACACATTAACACACAGTAAGAACACATTAACTCACACAGTAAGAACACATTAACACACACAGTAAGAACACATTAACTCACACAGTAAGAACACATTAACACACAGTAAGAACACATTAACACACACAGTAAGAACACATTAACACACAGTAAGAACACATTAACTCACACAGTAAGAACACATTAACACACACAGTAAGAACACATTAACACACACAGTAAGAACACATTAACACACAGTAAGAACACATTAACTCACACAGTAAGAACACATTAACTCACACAGTAAGAACACATTAACTCACACAGTAAGAACACATTAACTCACACAGTAAGAACACATTAACTCACACAGTAAGAACACATTAACTCACACAGTAAGAACACATTAACTCACACAGTAAGAACACATTAACACACAGGAACACAGCCTGACAAAAGGTGTTTCTCAACAAAGGTGTCCGTGTCCACACAGGTGAAGGAGAGGCGCAGATAGCAACCAAGATGAAGCAGTGCCTCAGGAACCTCTTGAAGGACAAGGTGAGTCCCGCGTGAGAACAATGTTGTAGGTGGAGGAGGGTTGTAGTGGTGGGTTGTGGGTTGTGTGAGTGTACTCACCTAGTTGTGTTTGCGGGGGTTGAGCTCTGGCTCTTTGGTCCCGCCTCTCAACTGTCAATCAACAGGTGTACAGATTCCTGAGCCTATCGGGCTCTATCATATCTACACTTGAAACTGTGTATGGAGTCAGCCTCCACCACATCACTTCCTAATGCATTCCATTTGTCAACCACTCTGACACTAAAAAAGTTCTTTCTAATATCTCTGTGGCTCATTTGGGCACTCAGTTTCCACCTGTGTCCCCTTGTGCGTGTTCCCCTTGTGTTAAATAGACTGTCTTTATCTACCCTATCAATTCCCTTCAGAATCTTGAATGTGGTGATCATGTCCCCCCTAACTCTTCTGTCTTCCAGCGAAGTGAGGTTTAATTCCCGTAGTCTCTTCTCGTAGCTCATACCTCTCAGCTCGGGTACTAGTCTGGTGGCAAACCTTTGAACCTTTTCCAGTTTAGTCTTATCCTTGACTAGATATGGACTCCATGCTGGGGCTGCATACTCCAGGATTGACCTGACATATGTGGTATACAAAGTTCTGAATGATTCTTTACACAAGTTTCTGAATGCCGTTCGTATGTTGGCCAGCCTGGCATATGCCGCTTATGTTATCCGCTTGATATGTGCTGCAGGAGACAGGTCTGGCGTGATATCAACCCCCAAGTCTTTTTCCTTCTCTAACTCCTGAAGAATTTCCTCTCCCAGATGATACCTTGTATCTGGCCTCCTGCTCCCTACACCTATCTTCATTACGTTACATTTGGTTGGGTTAAACTCTAACCCAACCTTAAATTTGTGTGTGTGTGTGTGTGTGTGTGTGTGTGTGTGTGTGTGTGTGTGTGTGTGCGGGAGAAGTTGCCTCCTGGTTCTTATCCATGCATTATTCACCCTCATAATTTCCTTCCGGAGCAAAGGTGTTTACGTGCCTGTATCTTGTGTATACCTGTTGTATATCTAACTGCTGCTCCCAGCAACAGCTTTATTGATCAGACCACGCTGGGCTGTGACAGTATAAAAACTCTCGAAACCAGACACAGGTACACGAGGCCACTAAGAAATGTATCAGTGTGTACAGCTACTAACCATGTCATGAAAATATCTATTATCTTTGCAAGTTACTTTGAGTACAACTTAGTAACACACAGAAATCACACTAATGTGATATATATATTAGCGAGAATATCCACCACGGCTGTGAGGTGGGCGCGAACCTGCGACCCCGGCATTGTCAAGTCGCATACTTTACCACTGGACCATCGCTGACATGATAAAAAGTCATACAACAGGATTTCTACTGAAATCACAGGAAGTCTGGACGTCCCTACTGAAGCCAGTCCAAGTTTTCATGTATGATTTCAGTAAAAATACTGTTGATTGACTTTTTAACATGTCTGTGGTGGTCCAGTGGTAGAATATGCGACTTGACATTGCTGAGGGCGTAGGTTCACGCCCACCTTACAGCTCTGGTGGGTTTTCTCAACATAGTGTTTGAGTTGATAGTGGGTGCTGCCACTCTGCGCCCTAACCATTATTCTTCTAATTATCACTAATTATCAGAATTATCACTAATTATCAGAATTATCACTAATTATCAGAATTATCACTAATTATCAGAATTATCACTAATTATCAGAATTATCACAAATTATCAGAATTATCACTAATTATCAGAATTATTATCACTAATTATCAGAATTATTATCACTAATTATCAGAATTATCACTAATTATCAGAATTATTATCACTAATTATCAGAATTATCATCACTAATTATCAGAATTATTGTCACTAATCAGAATTATTATCACTAATTATCAGAATTATTATCACTAATTATCAGAATTATCAGAATTATTATCACTAATTATCAGAATTATCAGAATTATTATCACTAATTATCAGAATTATTATCACTAATTATCAGAATTATTATCACTAATTATCAGAATTATCACTAATTATCAGAATTATTATCACTAATCAGAATTATTATCACTAATTATCAAAATTATCACTAATTATCAGAATTATTATCACTAATTATCAGAGTTATTATCACTAATTATCAGAGTTATTATCACTAATTATCAGAATTATCACTAATTATCAGAATTATCACTAATTATCAGAATTATCACTAATTATCAGAGTTATTATCACTAATTATCAGAATTATCACTAATTATTAGAATTATCAGAATTATCACTAATTATTAGAATTATTATCACTAATTATCAGAATTATCACTATTATTTTAATTTATAAGTTTTTCATTATTATTTAACCATTATTATTGTTATTATTCTTATAATTATTATTACCGTGGGTCCACAGGCTGACGTGTTCCTCGACTGTGTGGCGAGAAGTTGACGCTCCAGCTCCACACACAAGTTGTTCACAGTGAACCATATAACATACCTAACCTTGGTATATCTAAAAATACATAAACTATAAGTTATATTGATATTAATTTTTATTTGAGATACCACCCATATAACACCGTTTGGGAAAATATATAAATATGTTGACTAGAGCACACACACTAGAAGGTGAAGGGACGGTGGCAGAGCTTTTACACAGAGGAGCTCCGAGCAGGTTTTTTTTGTAAATAAAAAACCGAAACAAAATTTAATTAAATTCCAATAAAACTAGAATATCACGAGTGAAAGTCAGCGAGATTTTCAAGGTAAGAGAGATAAGCAGGAGTGCGCTTAATAGTTACTAACACAAGAATGGGACAGTTTTTCACAACGCCGTGAAAGACATTGATGAACTGTAAGTTAGACGAGCCCTGAGACTCCCCACTCGTTACTATCATTCAAATTATGCTTCATCAAGACACGACGTTGCTCCCTCTAACCTGTTCTAGTAGTCGAAGAAAAGTATTCCTTTAACCCCTAGTTTCTTGGAAAGTGCAAAATGGCAACGCCGCTTTTGTTGTTGTCGTAGTACTGGGTTAGATTATGAATGAATAATCGTAGCGACGCGTCTCATTGGTCCAAACACCACACACGGGTGTATATAATTCACACTGCTATCGAAAGGAAAATGGAGAAAAACAGTGAATAAAAATTAACATATGTAGATTAGTGAAAAAGGGAGATGGCTCTACGCTGGTGCTTAAGAGTCAAGGAATGGCAAGAGTTAAGGAATGGCAAGAGTTAAGGAATGGCAAGAGTTAAGGAATTCACCGGACCCCTGCCCAAACACACCAGCAGCCGCTGGCATATTGTCCTTAAGATGTCTTGCACACATGTGCTGTCAATGTGCTCCTCTCAGGTGTTTGGGTCAGATGTCTACCCAGAGTCCAGGTTGTTGTTGTTATAGATTCAGCTACTCGGAACAAGTTCCAAGTAGCACGGGCTATGGTGAGCCCGTAACTTACCTGGCACAGGAGCGGTGCTCTACAGAGTCCAGGTTTCTTAGTGGAACTGTGCACACAGTGACTGTGTGCACAGTTCCAGGTTTGGGACTGAGAGCCATATAGTATACAGAGCCCGTTTGGGAGTTTTATTAACCAGGTTGTTGTCTTCAGAGTGAGCTTGAGTTGTAAGGAGTAAAATGTATGCCATATATTAAAGTGTGTCTTATACATATACATTTTGCCTTTTGTACGTGGCTGTTTCCCTACTCCTTGATCTCCCTTTGGCTCAAGTTAAAGCCTCTATTTCCCTAGACAACATTTAAAAGTCATTACCACACACACATCCCATTCATGACACTTATATTAATTAATTTAATAAATTAATAAAAATTTGTAGCCCAGCGCGTGTGTCAATCACGCTGCCCAAAAATGCCAAAAACACTTCAGGAAAAAAAGATCTTCAGGACACCTTTGACAAGCCCCCAGCTTCCTGTCCTCGTCGAGGGTAAATCAGGTATAGCTTTCACCCCAATACACGAAGCATTCTTGTGTAAGTTGTAGGTGAAACAGCAGATGGCAGGATATGCCTTGTTGGCCCGTTAGTCTTGTACACGTTTAATGAAGCAAATAACTTCTTAATTTAACATTTATCATATGGCGGAGGATGTTGAGTATACCATGTTGACCAGACCACACACTAGAAGGTGAAGGGACGACGACGTTCGGTCCGTCCTGGACCATTTTCAAGTCGATTGAGAATGGTCCAGGACGGACCGAAACGTCGTCGTCCCTTCACTTTCTAGTGTGTGGTCTGGTCAACATACTTCAGCCACGTTATTGGGACTCATCGCCTGCACTGAGTATACAATACTCTTCAAATGGCCACGAATTACACGCATAATATGATCGGACACTTGCCATATACTTTAAAGTCTCTCTCTGGTAATTTACGTACTGAATAGTGGGATGTAATTTGGCCTTGGATGACATTATTCGTATAAATGGTATAAACTAACACTACAAATGTAAACTTTTGTAAATCACTTTTAACTTGAAAAACGTGTTGTGTGTTGTCGTTGTTGAAGTGTGAGGACACTGAAGGGAGGACTCTGTGACGTCATGTCTTTTGCCTTGACACCCATATGCCAATACGTCAAATAATTATGTTATATTGTTTACATAAAAGGTCAGTTTACTCTTAAGCACAAGTGGAGAGCCATCATCTCCCTTTTTCACTAATGTACATATATTAATTTTTAGTCACTGTTCTTCACTATTCTCCTTTCGATAGCAGTGTGAGTTATATAAACCCGTGTGTGGTGTTTGGGCCAGACACGTCGCTACGATTAGTCATTTATAACCCAATACTACGACCACAATAGAAGTTGACCAGACCACACACTAGAAGGTGAAGGGACGACGACGACGTTTCGGTCCGTCCTGGACCATTCTCACAATTGACTTGAGAATGGTCCAGGACGGACCGAACCGTCGTCGTCCCTTCACCTTCTAGTGTGTGGTCTGGTCAACACTCTTCAGCCACGTTATTGTGACTCCTCGTCTGCAACAATAGAAGTGGTATTGCCACTTTTGTCTTTTGTTCCACCGAAGTGACGGGTAAACATGTACACTTTTCCTCAGCTTACTGACCAACTTTTTGTCGAGCCTTCTTGAGGTTATCTTGAGATGATTTTGGGGTTTAGTGTCCCCGCGGCCCGGTCCTCGACCAGGCCTCCACCCCCAGGAAGCAGCCCGTGACAGCTGACTAACTCCCAGGAACCTATTTTACTGCTAGGTAACAGGGGCATCAAGGCCAAAGAAACTCTGCCCATTGTTTCTCGCCGGCGCCCGGGATCGAATCCAGGACCACAGGATCACGCGTCCAGTGTTCTGTCCGCTCAGCCACCGGCTCCCCCAAAGGAGCCTAGTCTTCCGGTAATCTAGGTATATTCCATTTGTAGAAGGCTGAACGTTTGTGTGAATGTAACTTAACAATATTAATAGACTCGTTAGATAGGCTCGGAACCAGAGTTAATTTCTCGCTTAATTTCTCGAGATGTGTTTGTGCTGGTTTTCCTGGCCAAGATGTCCATGTAGTTGAGTTATAGTTTAATGAACATTTCTGTCACCTTTCATATTGGGTTGAGTAGTGCGCAGGCATATGACACTGTGCTCTCGTGTAGTGACTTCCTCAATTTTACTCTTAAAGGAAGCTGTATATGGCGCTTTAATTCGTTTAAGAAACTGTTGGGTGGTGTATCTTGTCCTGTTGCGAGTGAGGAAGAGAGGGAGAGAGAGAGAGAGAGAGAGAGAGAGAGAGAGAGAGAGAGAGAGAGAGAGAGAGAGAGAGAGAGAGAGAGAGAGAGAGAGAGAGAGAGAGAGAGAGAGAGAGAGAGAGAGAGAGAGAGAGAGAGAGAGAGGTGGGGTAGGGAGTGTACTCACCTAATTGTGCTTGCGGGGGTTGAGCTTTGTCTCTTTGGTCCCGCCTCTCAACCGTCAGTCAACTGGTGTACAGATTCCTGAGCCTACTGGGCTCTATCATATCTACATTTGAAACTGTGTATGGAGTCAGCCTCCACCACATCACTTCCTAATGCATTCCATTTACTAACTACTCTGACACTGAAAAAGTTCTTTCTAACGTCTCTGTGGCTCATTTGGGTACTCAGCTTCCACCTGTGTCCCCTTGTTCGCGTCCCACCAGTGTTGAATAGTTCATCCTTGTTTACCCGGTCGATTCCCCTGAGGATTTTGTAGGTTGTGATCATGTCCCCCCTTACTCTTCTGTCTTCCAGTGTCGTGAGGTGCATTTCCCGCAGCCTTTCCTCATAACTCATGCCTCTTAGTTCTGGGACTAGTCTAGTAGCATACCTTTGGACTTTTTCCAGCTTCGTCTTGTGCTTGACAAGGTACGGGCTCCATGCTGGGGCCGCATACTCCAGGATTGGTCTTACATATGTGGTGTACAAGATTCTGAATGATTCCTTACACAGGTTCCTGAACGCCGTTCTGATGTTAGCCAGCCTCGCATATGCCGCAGACGTTATTCTCTTTATGTGGGCTTCAGGAGACAGGTTTGGTGTGATATCAACTCCTAGATCTTTCTCTCTGTCTGTTTCATTAAGTACTTCATCTCCTATTCTGTATCCTGTGCCTGGCCTCCTGTTTCCATTGCCTAGTTTCATTACTTTGCATTTACTCGGGTTGAACTTCAACAGCCATTTGTTGGACCATTCACTCAGTCTATCCAGGTCATCTTGTAGCCTCCTACTATCATCCTCTGTTTCAATCCTCCTCATAATTTTTGCATCGTCGGCAAACATTGAGAGGAACGAATCTATACCCTCTGGGAGATCATTTACATATACCAGAAACAGTATAGGTCCAAGGACTGACCCCTGCGGTACTCCACTCGTAACGTCTCGCCAATCTGAGACCTCACCCCTCACACTGACTCGTTGTCTCCTGTTACTTAGGTACTCCTGTATCCAACGGAGTACCTTCCCTTTCACTCCAGCCTGCATCTCCAGTTTTTTCACTAGCCTCTTGTGTGGCACTGTGTCAAATGCTTTCTGACAATCCAAAAATATGCAGTCTGCCCACCCTTCTCTTTCTTGCCTTATTTTTGTTGCCTGGTCGTAGAATTCAAGTAACCCTGTGAGGCAGGACCTGCCATCCCTGAATCCATGTTGATGCTGTGTTACAAAGTTCTTTCGCTCCAGATGTTCCACTAGCTTTCTTCGCACAATCTTCTCCATCAACTTGCATGGTATGCAGGTTAGGGACACTGGTCTGTAATTCAGTGCCTCCTGTCTATCCCCTTTCTTGTATATCGGGACTACGTTAGCTGCTTTCCAAATTTCTGGCAGTTCCCTGTTGCCAGTGATTTGTTATACACCATGGAGAGCGGGAGGCACAGTTCTTCTGCTCCTTCCTTTAGTATCCAAGGGGAGATTCCATCTGGATATAGCCTTTGTCACATCCAATTCTAGTAAACACTTCCTTACTTCCCCGCTGGTAATCTCAAACTCTTCCAGTGGTTCCTGGTTAGCTATTCCCTCTCTTATCTCTGGGATTTCTCCTTGCTCCAAGGTGAAGACCTCCTGGAATTTCTTATTCAGTTCCTCACACACTTCCTTGTCGTTTGTAGTGAATCCTTCTGCCCCTAACCTTAATTTCATAACCTGTTCCTTTACTGTTGTTTTTCTCCTGATGTGGCTATGCAGCAATTTAGGCTGAGTCTTTGCCTTGCTTGCGATGTCATTTTCGTATTGTCTTTTTGCCTCTCTTCTCATCCTAACATATTCATTCCTGGCATTCTGGTATCTTTCTCTGCTCTCCAGTGTCCTGTTATTCCTATAGTTTCTCCATGCCCTTTTACTTTGCTGCTTAGCTAGCCTACATCTCTGATTAAACCATGGGTTTCTCATCTTCATTTCACTGTTTTCCTTTTGGACTGGGACAAACTTGTTTGCTGCATCCTTGCATTTTTGCGTGATGTATTCCATCATATCTTGGGCCGTCTTTTCCCTGAGCTCTGTTTCCCATGCTATATCTGCTAGGCATTTTCTTATCTCCTCATAGTTTCCCTTTCGGTATGCTAACCTTTTGGTTTCGGTATCCCTTCTCGAGTTCAATAACCCTTCTTCAATCAGGTACTCAAACACCAATACACTGTGGTCGCTCATTCCTACTGGGTCCTCAAAACTGATTTCTCTTATGTCAGAGTCGTTCAGGGTGAAAACCAGGTCGAGCCTCGCTGGTTCGTCGTTTCCTCTCATCCTTGTGGGTTCACTGACATGCTGGGTTAAGAAGTTTCTAGTTAAGAAGTTTCTAAGAAGTTGTGTGTGTGTGTGTGTGTGTGTGTGTGTGTGTGTGTGGAGGGTGATGGCGATTGTGAAATGTAATGATGATAGGAGTTGCGAATAAGAAGAGGGCTATGGTAAGAGGGGATACTGAAGTAAGTAATTATCAAAAGAAGGCACCAATCTGGGAAGGCTATGCAGCACCACCAAATGTGCGGAGTAATCAGAGGGCGCTAAATATCGCCAAGAATGCCAATATGTGAACAGAAACGCATAAGGCAAATGATATCAAAAGTTTCCGATTCACCAAGAATTCTATCGAGGGACAATTGACCGTGAGGGACGGTCGGAAAGCAAGACACGCTCGTCCTGGAAGTCAGGACATTCAACAAGAATGTGCACGACCATAAGAGGAACAATGCAATTTGAACAATAAGGAGCAGGGCGGCGCTCCATTAAGTGACCGTGAGTTAAACGTGTATGGCCAATACGTAACCTAGCCAGAGCCGTTTCCCACCGCCGGTTACGGTGGACCGGATTAAAGGACCCCAAAGCCATGAGGGCACTTGGAGAGTAAACTACCACTACAAAGGAGGATTATGAAGGGCAAAGTGAAGGTGGTGATGATGATGGTGGGCATTGTGAGGTTGATGGTAACATAAGCAAGATGAAGTGTTGGTGGTAGTGATGAACACAGTGTAGGATACGCACAAAGGCCACAAAAGTTCAACTCAAGTAAATGTAAGGTAATGAAACTAGGCGGTGGAAACAGGCCAGACACGGGATACCGAATGGAAGATGAAGTTCTTCATGAAACGGACAGAGAAAAAGATCTAGAAGTTGTTATCACGCCAAATCTGTCTCCTGAGGCCCACATCATAAGAATACTATCAGCGGTGTATGCAAGGCTGGCCAACATCAGAACTGCCTCCAGGAACCTGCGGCATTTCGCAGGTGGAGATAGTGAAGAATTTGATGGCGACACAAGGTGTTGGAGATGCGTCGTAGGTGCCCAGATGAGTCTTGGAAGGGCGTGTCCTTCAGCAAGAGGTGGGCGTGTGACTGTGTGCGGCCAGGCGTGTCACCAGTTCCGACAGTTGGTGGTGGCGGCGGCCATAACCCTCCCGCAGCCCTATATAACACCCCACACTTCCTCCCTCACTACCACTCAGCCTCCTGCCGCCGCTCTTGCTACTGCTCTTGCTGCCGCCCTCGACGCTCCTCCTCCACCACTTCAGGTCTGTTATTCTCACATTCTTGAAGTACACCCCAAGAATCCCTTCAGTTATCTCACGAGACTTGTTACTGCCCACTGCGATATCTCCGCCATATAGAAGGTGAGGTGATATATTTGTTATCGTGCTGTTAAGTATCATTTTGTATTTCAGTGATCCATTGTCGTTCACCATGAGACTGGCGGTGATTCCCTTCCTGACGGCGACGGTGCTGGTGTTCGCTGCTGGCCAAAGGGCAGCAACTAAATGTGACGAGATCAGAGACGCGCTGGTACCATGTAAGATTATAACTACCAGACACTGGTCACTTTTAATTTGTTTTCCCATCTGATGGTGAACTCATATTATATATATATAACTGAAAACTCCACACCCCAGAAAGATTCGAACCCAGAGTTTGGGGTATGGAGTTTTCAGTTGCATATTGGCTTGGGGGACCTTTCAAACTTGTTTGAATGGTCCCCCAAGTTACTTCCTATTCTGATTACTTCCATTCAATCTCTTATTATTATTTGAATTATATTTCCAAACAGATTTTCCTGACCCCTTGGCCACACTTCTTCATAACAAGAATATTATTACTGATAACATTAATAGGTTGACTTTGACCTTGGTTTAGGGTGCCCTTTGACCCTGACCTTCGCCGAATGCTTCACCAAGATCGACGGCTGTCGGAACGATGTCGCCAGCTCCATGTCGACTCTGGCCAACAGTGACATCAGCGCCTTGGCTTTCATTGCCAACAATTTGACAACGTTCGGTAAGTATTTGTTTATTTATTTTGCTAGCATGTGTGTAGACAGTTAATCTTCAGTCTTAGCTTTGAGAGTTTATTCATATCATTTCAACTGTTCAAGTGGAAATGATAATGTTTCAATATGGATATTTTCGGAAAAAATTGCGGTTATAATCCTATAAGATTATAATCTTTTCGAAAAAAATATATATTTTGTAAATTTATTCTTTGCAAATAAATTAAAAATATAGATTTTGTGTCAAAATGCTCAATAATTAACCTTAGAAATACAAAATTTCATATAAAATAAATAATGATAAATCCTCTGTGTACAGAGAGCGATATTAAGAAAGATAATGACGAGCAACTATCAAAAGAAGGAACTAAACCGTATGCTCAGATAAATCCGAATTTTCTAAGCATTCATATTAACAATAACAACCTGACAGCCTGAAGGAAAAAAAAAATCAGGCTTACAGTTGATATTTTGTACTCCTCAAACATGTTATCAAATCATAAATGATTATATCCTTCCCCCCTTCGTCCCGGACAGTAATGAATGGTACAGCAGAGCAGAAAGTCATGGGCCAGGATCTGCTGGATGTGCTGGTGGACAGTGCTACTGTGACAAAGGTAACTTACAACTTTCTCACTCTTGGTTGTCACTGAAACCCGTACACGAGGCGGGACCAAAGAGCCAAAGCTCAACCCCCGCAAGCACAAATAGGTGAGTACGTTAAACCCTGGTTATATATATATATAAGCCCATGGGGGCTATATATATATATATACAGCATATATATATATATATACATATACATATATATACATATATATACATATATATACATATATATACATATATATATATATATACATATATATACATATATATATATATACATATATATACATATATATATATATATATACATATATATACATATATATACATATATATACATATATATACATATATATATATATATATATATATATATATATATATATATATATATATATATATATATATATATATACAGCCCCATGGGGGCTATGGGTCCCCACATTGGCACCAGAGGTGGTACCCTCACAAACTTTATATATATATATATATATATATATATATATATATATATATATATATATATATATATATATATATATATATATATATATATATATTCCTTTGTTTTAAATATATGATAAAAGGGCAGAGAGCCCAGGTGAATATGGGCACTCTGCCCTTCTGATCCGATCCATCGCCTAGGAGTTGATGCTATACATAGTTAAAAAGATATTTAAATAAACTGTAAATTTTGGCATATTTATCGGCCTTTATCTTCAAATTGGGATATATATAAACTGAGAGGTGTACTCAGCTTCTTGGTGAGTATACACAGAGTTTACTATAGTCCTGGACTATGCTGAGGGTTGAGGTATACTTGCTAATTGGTCAGTAAACTATTCTAGTGGTCTTAATTACCTCTCCTGATACTGATAGCGCTAAAGCCTAACACCCAACCAATTCTCAACAATATTATGCATGGAACACGTAATGGTTCCAACACCAATTTACTCTAGCAATTTGTTAATGTCTTAATCATTCACTCTTACTTCCATCAGAAAATCCAAGACTGTGTATCCACGTAAGTCTGAACGAGGGCGTTGCTCGGAGTGGACACCTGTTGCTGGAATGTTACGTGGTCTGGCCCCAGTCATAAGTGAAACAATATTATCATTTGCCTCTTCTCTGCGGCTGCTGACGTTGCCTCTCTTCACTCTCTACATCAACACACGCAGTCAACACTCTGAAAGGTCGCGTTTTCTGACCAATCGCCACACCTTGTCCCTGTTAGCCCCAGCACCGACTGTTCCTGCAGAAGCCCCAACAGTGACTTCCTGCAGGAGCACCAGCAGTGACTTCCTGCAGGAGCACCAGCAGTGACTTCCATCAGGAGCCTCAACAGTGACCTCCTTCAGGAGCCGCAGCAGTGACTGTTTCTGATATAAAATGGCAACTATTCTTCATAGACGAATCCCAGCGACAACTGTTGCTATCAGTTTACTGTTGATGTTCTGTGTATTTCCTAAATATATAAAGTGGCAAAATATTAACCTTTTATTTTAGGCTTTATATCCTTTTATATATTAGGCTTTATAATTATACCTTAATATAATTTACATATTCCCAGCTCACAAACTGGGAAACTCACGCACAGCGTTTCGGACAGAGCCACAAAATAGCTTCAACTGTAATTCCAATTTCTGTCTTTATTATGCACCCTATACCCGTCCCGAGGGCGGTGGTGTAAAGGGTTACAGAGGCACATAATCGGTTCAGGAACAACAGAGAACACAAAGTTACTAGAGCGGCGAGGAACTGTTCGTTAATTGGGATGGTCTCAGCTTGACTATAATTGGGATGGTCTCAGCTTGACTATAATTGGGATGGTCTCAGCTTGACTATAATTGTGATGGTCTCAGCTTGACTATAATTGGGATGGTCTCAGCTTGACTATAATTGTGATGGTCTCAGCTTGACTATAATTGGGATGGTCTCAGCTTGACTATAATTGGGATGGTCTCAGCTTGACTATAATTGGGATGGTCTCAGCTTGACTATAATTGGGATGGTCTCAGCTTGACTATAATTGGGATGGTCTCAGCTTGACTATAATTGGGATGGTCTCAGCTTGACTATAATTGGGATGGTCTCAGCTTGACTATAATTGGGATGGTCTCAGCTTGACTATAATTGGGATGGTCTCAGCTTGACTATAATTGGGATGGTCTCAGCTTGACTATAATTGGGATGGTCTCAGCTTGACTATAATTGGGATGGTCTCAGCTTGACTATATTTGGGATGGTCTCAGCTTGACTATAATTGGGATGGTCTCAGCTTGACTATAATTGGGATGGTCTCAGCTTGACTATAATTGGGATGGTCTCAGCTTGACTATATAAACTGATGTAAATTCCTTGGTGTTGGGGGTCCCACTGTTTGTTGTACCCAGTGTCATTATACAGTGAGGCTCAAGGGTGTGGCAAGCTGTCACTCAAGGGTGTGGCAAGCTGTCACTGAGGGGTGTGGCAAGCTGTCACTGAGGGGTGTGGCAAGCTGTCACTGAGGGGTGTGGCAAGCTGTCACTGAGGGGTGTGGCAAGCTGTCACTCAAGGGTGTGGCAAGCTGTCACTCAAGGGTGTGGCAAGCTGCCACTCAAGGGTGTGGCAAGCTGCCACTCAAGCTATGGTGCAAATGTCGACCAATCCACACACACACACTAGAAAATGAAGGGACGACGACGTTTCGGTCCGTCCTGGACCATTCTCAAGTCGATTGTGATTGTCGATTGAGAATGGTCTAGGACGGACCGAAACGTCGTCGTCCCTTCATTTTCTAGTGTGGGGATTGGTCAAAATACATCGGCCACGTTATTGTGACTCATCGCCTGCATATGGTGCAAATGTCAGAATTGTTATATGATGTAACTTGTATACACGTATATCATTATTTGACTATGCTGCACCTTTGCTTGATTTAGTTTGAGGGTGATGGCGATAGTGAAAGGTAATGGTGATAGGAGATATGATGGCGGTCATTGTGAATATGATAAGAGGGGATACAGAAGGCGGGCATTGTGAGGTTAATGGTAACATAAGCAAGATAAAGTATTGGAGGTAGTGATGAGCACAGTGAAGGGCACAGAGGGCACATGTCTCAGAGGGACTAAAAACCCGCAGCACAACTAGGTGAATAGAGGAATGATGAAGGGCAGAGTGAATGGTACAGGGTGGTGATAGTGAAGAGGTTGATGGCGACACAAGGTGTTGGAGATGCGTCGTAGGTGCCCAGATGAGTCTTGGAAGGGCGTGTCCTTCAGCAAGAGGTGGGCGTGTGACTGTGTGCGGCCAGGCGTGTCACCAGTTCCGACAGTTGGTGGTGGCGGCGGCCATAACCCTCCCGCAGCCCTATATAACACCCCACACTTCCTCCCTCACTACCACTCAGCCTCCTGCCGCCGCTCTTGCTACTGCTCTTGCTGCCGCCCTCGACGCTCCTCCTCCACCACTTCAGGTCTGTTATTCTCACATTCTTGAAGTACACCCCAAGAATCCCTTCAGTTATCTCACGAGACTTGTTACTGCCCACTGCGATATCTCCGCTATATAGAAGGGTGAGGTGATATATGTGTTATCGTGCCGTTAAGTATCATTTCATGTTACAGTGATCCAGCGTCATTCACCATGAGACTGGCGGTGATTCCCTTCCTGACGGCGACGGTGCTGGTGTTCGCTGCTGGCCAAAGGGCAGCAACTAAATGTGACGAACACAGAGACGCGCTGGTACCATGTAAGATTATAACTACCAAACACTAGCCACTTTCCATTCCATTTTCCATAAAATCTTGTTAAATAATAATATAAATATTATTATTTATAACATTAATAGGCTGACTTTGACCTTGGTTTAGGGTGCCCTATGACCCTGACCTTCGCCGAATGCTACGCCAAGATTGACGGCTGTCGTAGCGATGTCTCCAGCTACATCTCCACTCTGGTCAACAGTGACATCAGCGAGTTGGCTCCCATTGCCAACAATTTGACAACGTTGAGTAAGTATCTTTTTTTTTTATTTTGCTAGCATGTGTGTAGAGAGTTATTCTTCAGTGTTAGTTTTGAGTGTTTATCCATATATTTTGAGCTGTTTAAATTAAAGTGATAATGTTTCAATATGGACATTTCCGCAAAAATATATATTTTGTAAATTTGTTATTTACAAAGAAGTTAAAAATATAGATTTTGTATCAAAATGCTCAATAATTAACCTTAGAAATACAAAATTTCATGTAAAATTAATTATACACACATAAATCCCTATAACGTGATATATCAAATGAACAAATCCACAAGGGCCGTGATGAGGGTATGATGATGATGATAAAGATGATGACTAAGGCGCGTGTGAGAACACTCAGTGCAAAGATTCAAACCCTCATCAAGGCCTTTGTGGATATAATCAAATAAATGATGATATCACTCTCTATACCCAGAGTATATATTAACAGAGATGATAGCGAGCAATTATCAAAAGAATGAACTAAAATACGTGCTTAGATGAATCCTTTTTTTCCGTATTCATTTCAACAATAACAACCCGAAGAAAAAAAAACAGGGGCCAGATTCATGAAAGCACTTACGCAAGTACTTACGAACGTGTACATCTTTCCTCAATCCTTGACGGCTTTGGTTACATTTATTAAACAGTTTACAAACACGAAAACTTCCCATTCAACTGTTGTTATTGTTATAAACAGCCTCCTGGTGCTTCGGAGCTCATTAACTGTTTAATAATTGTAAACAAAGCCGCCAAAGATTAAGAAAAGATGTACAGGTTCGTAAGTGCTTTCGTGAATCTGGCCCCAGGCTTACAGTTGGGATTTTGTACTCATCAAACATGTTACAAAATCATAAATGATTATCCGCTCCTCCCGGACAGTTCTGAACGGGACAGAAGAGGAGAAAACCTTGGCGCGGGATCTCTTGTACCTCCTGGTGGACGAGGCTACGCTGACGAAGGTAAATAACACCTTCTTCACTACGGGGTGAGAATAGCTTCAGCTACCTCATCCCTTTGTGTGTGTATTTTACCTCAATAAACTTATTTCAATTTCGTTTCTTCACTCGCGGGTTTTATCTGACACCCGGGAGACGTTAATCGCTTGTTGTATCTTCCTTTTGTTTTATAAATATGATAAATATAAATCCATCGCTAGGAGTTGATGTTTAACATAGTTAAAAGATATTTATATATCTTATATAAACTGTACATTTTCTCATATATTTATCGGCCTTTATCTTCAAATTGGGATATATAAGGTGAGAGGTGTACTCAGCTTCTTGGTGAGTATACACAGAGTTTACTATAGTCCTGGACTATGCTGAGGGTTGAGGTATACTTGCTATTTGGTCAGTAAACTATTGTGGTGGTCTTAATTACCTCTCCTGATATTGATAGCGCTAAACCCTAACACCCAACCAATTCTCAACAATATTTTGCATAGAACACGTAATGGTTCCAACGCCAATTTACTCTAGCAATTTGTTAATGTCTTAATCACCCACTCTTCCATCAGAGACTAACAGACTGTGTATCTACGTAAGTCTGAATGAGGGCCTTGCTCACAGTGGACACCTGTTGCTGGCATGTTATGTGGTCTGGCCTCAGTCATGGGTGAAAAAGTATTATATCTTGCCTCTTCTATGCGGCTGCTGACGTTGCCTCTCAGTCTCTACATCAACACACATGATCCAGTCAACACTAAAAGGTCGCGTTTTCTGACCAATCGCCACACCTTGTCCCTGTAAGCCCCAGCAGCGACGGTTCCTGCAGGAGCCTCAACAGTGACCTCCTTCAGGAGCCCCAGCAGTGACTTCCTTCAAGAGCCCCAGCAGTGACTTCCTTCAGGAGCACCAGCAGTGGCTTCCTTTAGGAGCCCCAGCAGTGACTTCCTTCAGGAGCCCCAGCAGTGACTTCCTTCAGGAGCCCCAGCAGTGGCTTCCTTTAGGAGCCCCAGCAGTGGCTTCCTTTAGGAGCCCCAGCAGTGACTTCCTTCAGGAGCCCCAGCAGTGACTTCCTTCAGGAGCCCCAGCAGTGGCTTCCTTTAGGAGCCCCAGCAGTGACTTCCTTCAGGAGCCCCAGCAGTGGCTTCCTTTAGGAGCCCCAGCAGTGACTTCCTTCAGGAGCCCCAGCAGTAACTTCCTTCAGGAGCCCCAGCAGTGGCTTCCTTCAGGAGCCCCAGCAGTGGCTTCCTTCAGGAGCCCCAGCAGTGGCTTCCTTCAGGAGCCCCAGCAGTGAATTCCTTCAGGAGTCCAGCAGTGACCTCCTTCAGGAACCCCAGCAGTGACTTCCTTCAGGAGCCGCAGCAGTGACTGTTTCTGATAAAAAATAACAACTATTCTTCATAGACGAATCCCAGCGACATCTGTTGCTATCAGTTTACTGTAGATGTTCTCTGTATTTGCTAAATATATAAAGTGACAAAATATTAACCTTTTATTTTAGGCTTTATATCCTTACTCAGACCTTAATATAATTTACATATTCCCAGCTTACAAAATCCGCTTTAAACACTTGTGACACGAATATATGAACCACTAAAAGATGGCAGGCTGTCACTCAAGCTATGGTGCAAATGTCAGAATTGTTATAATGATGTAACTTGTATATATTATATCATTAGTTGACTATGCTGCACCCCTGCTTGATATACTGCTTGAAATAATGCTTATAGCCCATGAACAAATGCAAAATAAAGCCATGAGGATTTTCATACGGTCGCCCAGTACCACAGAGATACTTAATATGAGGAAGAAAATTAATATTCTGAGGATCATTGATAGTTTTACTGATATAAATACTTTAACTGGTATCAAAATACTTAGACTAGCTCACCCATCCCTTGCACTAATCCTCTAGACACTTACTGAAGGTCAAAAATCATTGAAAATGGATTTACTAAAACTGCAAATGAACTCAGAATTTATAGGATTCCCAATTTATACCTTCTCACCAAAAGAAGGAAATGAAAGATCAGACCAAGCTTCGTCTTGGGGCCAATTACAATGCATTAAGAGAGAGATAGAGAGATAGAGAGATAGATAGATAGATAGATAGATAGATAGATAGATAGATAGAGAGAGAGAGAGAGAGAGAGAGAGAGAGAGAGAGAGAAGAGAGAAGAGAAAGAGAAGAGAGAGAGAGAGAGAGAGAGAGAGAGAGAGAGAGAGAGAGAGAGAGAGAGAGAGAGAGAGAGAGAGAGAGAGAGAGAGAGAGAGAGAGAGAGAGAGAGAGAGAGAGAGAGAGAGAGAGAGAGAGCTGCTCTGCTCAAAGACCTTCATCTCTCCAACCATAGATACTGATAGCTCCCTACAGCTCCCCACTGGAGGTGTAAGGTGGGTGCTTATATTCTGAGTGAGACCGTCTCCTTAACAGGTGGACCTCTGTCATTCACACCGAACTATTTGCCACATTTCTTGTGCTCAAATGGGTACATGTCTTGAAAAGTGACAAATTAATTGTATGTGATTCTTTATCATCTTCAATATCGATCAACTCTTTAAAATGCAGTTGCAACATGCTCATGTCTGAAGCTAGATAGAAATACAACATTACCTGCTGGTGTTGACCTGACCAACATTACCTGCTGGTGTTGACCTGACCAACATTACCTGCTTGTGTTGACCTGACCAACATTGCCTGCTGGTGTTGACCTGACCAACATTACCTGCTGGTGTTGACCTGACCAACATTACCTGCTGGTGTTGACCTGACCAACATTACCTGCTGATGTTGACCTGACCAACATTACCTGCTGGTGTTGACCTGACCAACATTACCTGCTGGTATTGACCTAACCAACATTACCTGCTGGTGTTGACCTGACCAACATTACCTGCTGATGTTGACCTGACCAACATTACCTGCTGATGTTGACCTGACCAACATTACCTGCTGATGTTGACCTGACCAACATTACCTGCTTGTGTTGACCTGACCAACATTACCTGCTTGTGTTGACCTGACCAACATTACCTGCTGGTGTTGACCTGACCAACATTACCTGCTGATGTTGACCTGACCAACATTGCCTGCTGGTGTTGACCTGACCAACATTACCTGCTGATGTTGACCTGACCAACATTACCTGCTGATGTTGACCTGACCAACATTACCTGCTGGTGTTGACCTAACCAACATTACCTGCTGATGTTGACCTGACCAACATTACCTGCTGGTGTTGACCTAACCAACATTACCTGCTGGTGTTGACCTGACCAACATTACCTGCTCATGTTGACCTGACCAAATGTAAACTATCACCAAAATAATTCGCAAACCCTGCATCACTATGCGAAGGAATTGGAAACCATTTAAGATTATAGAAATTACTCACAAATGTCCAAGAAAAGTGTATTTAATTGAAAATGACTTAGTGTGAGAACACCCAGCACAGTAGACATTGTGGGGAGTGTGATGCACATATTGTTACAATTATAATAATTGGAGGAGAGAGGGGGGACTTGCTGCATGGGTAACAGCTTCTCCCTTGTATAAACCTACCCTGGCTTTGCACCCTGGAGAGGCCACTCCAGACCGACAACCAGAGCGCAACTCCATAGTCTCCTGAGACATATGGATGCTTACAATAAAACAGAAACAAGCAACACTTAGTGGGCCAGCCAAAGGCTTAGGGCCCGCGCAGGAATATCCATGCAAAAAAAAAAAAACTACCTCTCTCGTAAAAGCTTAGTAGATTTGTTACAAAAAGATCTTCCCGGTTTTTTGTTTTTGTATCATTTTGCGTTATTATTTCATTACTTTCCAGGTGCTCTTCCCATTTGGTATTTGTAATCAAATGGGAATTTATTTAGAATTTTGACTACTACACTTGTCAACTATACAGGTCTATACTTTAGAGGGTCCTCACTGTTTACCATCTTATAGATTGGATATATGTTTGTCTTTTCCATATGTCTTATGTTAGATGCGCACTTCCTTACAGCCCCAAGGTGAGAGAGTCTGGCCCTTCCAAGGCCAGACTGACTATCTGACCGTCTACCAAGTCCTCTTGTAATATCCATAATTCTTGAATAACTTTGCCTCATCCGCTAATCTATTTCCTCTGTCAGGTCTTTAACGTGTACTGAGAACAGAATAAGTCCCCAGTGTACTCTCCTCCACACTCATCCATCTGGTGTCCCACTTGTAATGGATGAGTGCCACTTGTGGCACCGTGCCACTCCCACCATTCTTCTCTGGCTACTGCCCTCTGTTCCCTACCTGGGAGGCACTCTCCCATCTGTCCAAGTACTTTACCCCATTTACTCCTTATCTTGAGTTTGTACCATAGTCTCCTGCATGGAACGGTGTCTCATGCTTTCTGGCAGTCACGGAAGAAGCAACCGGATTTCTACTGACATCACAGGAACTCTGGAGGTCCCTACTGAAGCCAGTAGGCCATTAACTAATATAGTGTGTGTGGGAGATCATGATACAGTGCTTGCTCACAGAGCAATATAATAAACACATACAATTCTACGGACTTTGCCACAAACATTTCATCTTCAACGACATTTGGTCGTTGTCGCTACCCCCCCCCCCCCTCGTAGTTCCTCGCCTTGTTGGCTGTCGTACCGTCTTGCGAGACTGTCAGGACAGACGGTACTGGTCGTAGCATGGGATATATGACCTTACTTCATCTGGGGTCACCTATCACGGAGCCTTGTATTGAATGTCTCCGGCTATGCTCTGTTGTTCCAGGCTGAAAATCTGGAGCCTTTCACTTCGTACTTCACGCACCTCCTAAATTTCTACTTTAAAAGAGGTTGGGCCTTTTCTCTGGTTATGTTCCTTTCATTTCGTTTCTCCATTTCTCTCTTGATGCTGATATATTTACTTCATATTCTCCTGTAGATGGTGTGGTTTCTTTATAGACATTGTAGACCTAGCTCAAGCCTGCGTCCAGGCCAGGGGAAATAGAGAAAGACGGTGGGTGAGTGACCTTAGTGGCAGGAGCGCTACTGGAGTCTACACACGTGTCCCATGATAAATTACATGACAAATGTCTTGAAGAAGCTCATCGTGGAACACCTACTTGATGGCTACCGATCTCCAGCAACAGTCGACACCTGTCACAAGAACACTACTGAATATAACAGTAAAAACATTTTGTTTAATGGCAAAGGAGGTAGTGATGGTGAAGGGCACACTGAAGGTGGTGACGACGGTGATAGTGAAGAAGTTGATGGCGACACAAGGTGCTGGAGATGCGTCGTAGGTGCCCAGATGAGTCTTGGAAGGGCGTGTCCTTCAGCAAGAGGTGGGCGTGTGACTGCGTGCGGCCAGGCGTGTCACCAGTTCCGACAGTTGGTGGTGGCGGCGGCCATAACCCTCCCGCAGCCCTATATAACACCCCACACTTCCTCCCTCACTACCACTCAGCCTCCTGCCGCCGCTCTTGCTACTGCTCTTGCTGCCGCCCTCGACGCTCCTCCTCCACCACTTCAGGTCTGTTATTCTCACATTCTTGAAGTACACCCACAAGACTCTATATTAATCCCAGGGAATGCCATGGTATGGTTCTTTACGACATTCCCGCCAAGCACAAGGGTCATGTGACAACAACGTATGCTCTCCACCAAGATAACACTTTGTTCTTTGCAGTGATATGGCCCCGTCCAACATGAGGTTCCTGGTGATTTTCGTCCTGACGGCGTCGATGCTGGTGTTCGCTGCTTCTGCCGCCCAGGCCACATGCCCATGGGAAGCTATTATGAAACGTGAGTTTGTTATATGCCATCCAGTCTTGTTTGTATCCACGCGACACACACACGAAACTTTCCACATTGTGAAAAGTTTAGTGTGTTTGCTTTCTTCAGTTAGGAAAGAATAGTCACACACAGTGCTTGTGGTAAACATAAGGGGGCCACACAGTGTTTGGGGTAGATATAAGGGGGCCACACAGTGTTTGGGGTAGATATAAGGGGCCACACAGTGTTTGGGGTAGATATAAGGGGCCACACAGTGTTTGGGGTAGATATAAGGGGGCCACACAGTGTTTGGGGTAGATATAAGGAGGCCACACAGTGTTTGGGGTAGATATAAGGGGGCCACACAGTGTTTGGGGTAGATATAAGGAGGCCACACAGTGTTTGGGGTAGATATAAGGGGGCCACACAGTGTTTGGGGTAGATATAAGGGGGCCACACAGTGTTTGGGGTAGATATAAGGGGCCACACAGTGTTTGGGGTAGATATAAGGGACCACACAGTGTTTGGGGTAGATATAAGGGGCCACACAGTGTTTGGGGTAGATATAAGGGACCACACAGTGTTTGGGGTAGATATAAGGGGCCACACAGTGTTTGGGGTAGATATAAGGGGCCACACAGTACCTGTGATGACAAGAAGGGGTTAGACAGTCCCTGGGGTGACCGGAATGGTTCACAGAGTGTCTGGAGTAACTAGAAGGAACCATATAGTACCCAGGTGACTGGTAGGGGGCCACATGGTGCCCATGATGGGCTGGGGTGACACTTCATTATGTTAGATAATGTTCAAGTGGTCTATTGGAGTCAGGATACTCGACAGCCACACTGGCGTACCTATGAACGTCACGATAATATTGATCTTAAGTGACTGTCTACACCAAGAGAACTACCACCGCCAGAGTAGAAGGGAAGGGGATTATGGGGAAAGCGCCAAACCATTACGACTATATAGCACTGGGGAGAGGAGTCAGGATAAGGATGTGGGATGGGACGGGGAAAAGGAATGGTGCCCAACCACTTGGTCGGTGAGTGAACGCCGACCTGCATGAAGGGAGACCGTCGCTCTACCGTCCAGCCCAAGTGGTTGGGCCCCGCCAGAGTTGAGGCCGGAACGTCATTATTTCTTAGTCTATGGTAACACCACACTCCACGTGTTGACCAGACCACACACTAGAAGGTGAAGGGACGACGACGACGACGTTTCGGTCCGCCCCGGATTATTCTCAAGTAGAATCGACTCGAGAATGGTCCAGGACGGACTGAAACGTGATCGTCCCTTCACCTCCTAGTGTGTGGTCTGGTCAACATGCTTCAGCCACGTTATTGTGACTCCTCGCCTGCACCACACTCCACGTCTTGTTGCAGTGTGTGGCGGGAACGCGACGCTGCTCAGCGACTGCCAAAGTAAGATGCAAAAGTGCAAGAACTCAACACTTCCTACCGTCATCCAACGCTGTCTCCCGAGGAAACTCTACCCCTTCATCGCCATCTTGAACGCGACTCTGACAACAGGTAAGAATACTTCCAATGCATTCATACTTCTAAGCCTTGTTTTGTTCATACTAAGGTAAATGTCAGTTGCAGTAACATGACGCTGGGATATCAGTGTTCCAGTGGGAAGATCCTTAATGTTCTGAGACGGAGCCGTCATTAATGGCGCTCTCATCTACTTCTGTTAAGACTGACATATGAGGTATAAAATAAATGCTATTTCTCCTGTTATATATCATCACACTCCTGTTATATATCATTACACTCCTGTTATATATCATCACACTCCTGTTGTATATCATTACACTCCTGTTGTATATCATTACACTCCTGTTATATATCATTACACTCCTGTTATATATCATCACACTCCTGTTGTATATCATTACACTCCTGTTGTATATCATTACACTCCTGTTATATATCATTACACTCCTGTTATATATCATTACACTCCTGTTATATATCATTACACTCCTGTTATATATCATTACACTCCTGTTATATATCATTACACTCCTGTTATATATCATTACACTCCTGTTATATATCATTACACTCCTGTTGTATATCATTACACTCCTGTTATATATCATTACACTCCTGTTATATATCATTACACTCCTGTTATATATCATTACACTCCTGTTATATATCATTACACTCCTGTTATATATCATTACACTCCTGTTATATATCATTACACTCCTGTTATATATCATTACACTCCTGTTATATATCTATATCATTACACTCCTGTTATATATCATTACACTCCTGTTGTATATCATTACACTCCTGTTATATATCATTACACTCCTGTTATATATCATTACACTCCTGTTATATATCATTACACTCCTGTTGTATATCATTACACTCCTGTTATATATCATTACACTCCTGTTGTATATCATTACACTCCTGTTGTATATCATTACACTCCTGTTGTATATCATTACACTCCTGTTGTATATCATTACACTCCTGTTATATATCATTACACTCCTGTTATATATCATTACACTCCTGTTATATATCATTACACTCCTGTTATATATCATTACACTCCTGTTATATATCATTACACTCCTGTTATATATCATTACACTCCTGTTATATATCATCACACTCCTGTTATATATCATCACACTCCTGTTATATATCATCACACTCCTGTTATATATCATTACACTCCTGTTATATATCATTACACTCCTGTTATATATCATCACACTCCTGTTATATATCATTACACAATAGAGGCTAACACTGTCCACGATTGTCCCCCATATTTAGCGCCCACCACCCCCGGAGACATGACAGCGGCTGCGGATCTGCTAAGCATCTTACTGGGCAACAAGGAAGCTTGTGCCACGGCTGTGAGTACTTACCTAATTACCTAATTGTGCTTGCAGGGGGGTTGAGCTTTGGCTCTTTGGTCCCGCCTCTCAACTGTCAATCAACAGGTGTACAGGTTCCTCGACCGAGTGTACGTGTCAGTTTACTGTTGACCCCCCCTGATGATTGATTGATGAAGATTAAGCCACCCGAAAGGTGGCACGGGCACGAATAGCCCGTGCCACCTTTAAGCAATAAGCATCTTATTGCTTCTTAATTACAATTATTACTTAACCTATACCGTTGATAGGTTAAGTAATAATTGTAAATAAGAAGCAATAAGATGCTTATCTTAACATACTAAGAAGGTTAGGTGAGGTCAGTGTTTTCTTTGAAGCTTTTCAAGGTAAACTAAAATATTCACAATCAATTAGTATGTCACATATGCACTTATTAATTAAGCCAATATTAACTGTAAGCAAGTGCGAGAACGGGTTGTCTGATGGTAGGTAGTTTCATGTACACCAGTCTCCCAGACACACAAGACCTACACTCCCTAAGCAATCAGAACTGCCAGAACTTAAGTGATTGTCAAGACGAAGAGAATTACCACCGCCAGAGTGGAACATCACATCATTTCTCAATCCACAATTGTTACATCACAATTATAACACGAAGAACAAACTGCACACTACGGTAATGGTAGCAAGACATGTGTTTCTCTCTCTAGGTGCTGGTTTGGGGGTCTGATTCACGAAGCCGTTACGCAAGCACCTACGAACCTGTACATCTTTTCTCAATCTTTGGCGGCTTTGTTTACCATTATTAAACAGTTAATGAGCTCCGAAGCACCAGGAGGCTGTTTATAACAATAACAACAGTTGATTGGCAAGTTTTCATGCTTGTAAACTGTTTAATAAATGTAACCAAAGCCGTCAAAGATTGAGGAAAGATGTACACGTTCGTAAGTACTTGCGTAACTGCTTCGTGAATCTGGCTCCTGGTGATGGGCTTCAGGCTGGAGCCCAACACACTAAGTCACCAGCTAGCGAGTATACTTTAGCTATTGTTATATCATTATATACATTATACATTCACTCTACAGGTGAGCATATACAAGTAGGAGTGAACTATACACTCACACAATCAGTAACAAGTATGGCAGTAATCATGATCATTTGTATATATCTTAGTATATATACATCCTGGTATATATATATATATACTACATCCTGGTATATATACATCCTGGTCTTAACTAACTAGGGACTAGTTATGAACTAGCTGTAATAAACTAGGTCATAACAGCTATGAAAAATGAGTTTAGGAATAAAAAGTAACTGTAGTGAATATACACAAACGTCTTCCACTGGACCATCAAGGTCCTGTTAAAATAAATGAAGCAGTTACCCATTAACTGCTGCACCATCAGCCAATCACACCTCACACGAAAGGTGGCTATTATCACATTCACATCTAGAAAATGTAGAAACTAGTGCAGTGTGAAGGAACTCTTAAGAGTGAATATTTATATACGAAGTGATAGCTTATACGTTTTGTAGGTACGGTGGGTCGGGTAACTAACCGATCTGTTCTTATTCTTAACAGGAGGTGACTAAGTGTGTGAAGGCATTACCTGCTAATTCATGATTACCTGCTTAAGGCATCTCCATCCCCGCCGTGCGCCTGGCCCCTGGTCTACCCCGGCGGACCTTTCTGTCTGGAGTGTAACTGTGGTCCGGCGTAGCAGCACCTATGGTCTAGCGCACCAGCACCTTTGGTCTGGCTCACCAGCACCTTTGGTCTGGCTCACCAGCACCTTTGGTCTGGCGCACCAGCACCTTTGGTCTGGCGCACCAGCACCTGTGGTCTAGCACACCAATGACAACTTAAGGGACAAGAATCTTCCATCATATTTACAACTTTTAAACAAAAAAATAATAATAATACGTGTTTGCTTTTGTTAACTAAAAAAACTTGCTTTATTTTTGCTTTATATTTTCTGAACATATAAAATGGCAGATCGTATATTTATAGTTTTATTACAAATTTATGAGAAAACGAGTATTTATCTGTATTTAAGAGAACGAAAGAATTCCCTTCAATCCAAAGTGTCCCCTAACATATTATAACTAAGTAACGACAAGGTAAAGAGGAAACAATGAATGGGGAAAGAAACGCCCAAATTGGTAAGGAAATGGCTAAGGCTTTCATGTCTTACACAAATAATAATAGAGTCGTAGCCTCCTCATTCTTCCCCTACTGGGAACCTGCCAGTCACATGAAGACTTTCACAAGAAGCTCTCAGTGACCTTGCTGGCTGAGGTCTGGAAGTGACCTTGCTGGCTGAGGTCTGGAAGTGACCTTGGTGGCTGAGGTCTGGAAGTGACCTTGGTGGCTGAGGTCTGGAAGTGACCTTGGTGGCTGAGGTCTGGAAGTGACCTTGGTGGCTGAGGTCTGGAAGTGACCTTGGTGGCTGAGGTCTGGAAGTGACCTTGCTACAATTATTTTATACCTAGAGGTTTGTTTTTATATCATTTTGAACCTGGAGCTTTTTTTATATCTCTTAAATGTTTGAGCTCTCTCATATTTGCTCTTGATAGTTGTGGATAAAGGTGTTGTATTTGTTCTTGATAGTTGTGGATAAAGGTGTTGTATTTGTACTTGAAGTTGTGGATAAAGGTGTATTTGCTGTTGAAATTGTGGATAAAGGTGTTGTATTTGCTGTTGAAATTGTGGATAAAGGTGTTGTATTTGCTCTTGAAGTTGTGGGTAAAGGTATTGTATTTGCTCTTGAAGTTGTGGATAAAGGTATTGTATTTGCTCTTGAACTTGTAGATAAAGGTGTTGTATTTGCTCTTGAACTTGTAGATAAAGGTATTGTATTTGCTCTTGAAGGTGTGGATAAAGGTGTTGTATTTGCTCTTGAAATTGTGGATAAAGGTGTTGTATTTGCTCTTGAACTTGTGGATAAAGGTGGCTTCCTCGACCTTTCTCTCTGTACATTCCACATGCTAACATGCTGACATGTGTACAAGGTGCAGGTATGTACACGATGAGTCACAATAACGTGACTGATGATATGCTGACCAGACCACACACTAGAAAGTGAAGGGACGACCACGTTTCGGTCCGTCCTGGACCATTATGAAGTCGAAACGTCGTCGTCTCTTCACCTTCTAGTGTGTGGTCTGGTCATCAAGGTACAGGAGCTTCACTTACGTCTCATTTGCGTTTCCACCTTCCACTGATGTCCTCTTGTGTTGTTGTCTTTCAGTTTAAAAAGTCTGTCCTTTGTTCCTTGTTTTTGGCCCTCAGTATTGTGTACGTAGTGATCATATCCCCTCGGCTCCTCCTTGTGTTGTTAGATTTGATTCATGTAAACAATTTAAACTCGAAGCTCAGTGTTCCTAAATCATGTATTAGTCTTGTTATAAAACTCTCTTTTTCACATTCAGCTTTATGCTTCATGAATGTGGAGTCCAAGGCGAGGCTGTGTATTCTAACAATGGTCTAACATTGTCAGTGTAAACCCTCCAAACACACACCGAAACTACGACGTTGGTACAACGTTCGAACAAGTTTTAACACTTCCTAACCAGTTATAACAACCAATATAGCAAGTTGTAACAACGTTCTAATACGTCATAAACACGTTAAGCCAAGCTGTAACAACTTTATTACAAGTTGTAACAAGCGGAAAATAGAGACAGTTACGGTTTGTGTTTCCAGGGAATTGTCTTTAGTGTTCTTAAGACTTTTAATAGAATTGTTTATATTTACCAGTTGGCCTGTGCTACTGATATTATGATGTTTATGAGTGCTGCTGGAGTTATTGTTGCAATTATATCGGCTTTGTCCTTTTCTCTTCTGATTCTTGAAGTGGCCATTCCTCTGACTGTGTAAATTCCTTTTGATCTCTTTATCACTCCCAGTTAGATTACCTTACACTTATTGGTATTGAACTCTAATAATAATTTTTATTCTCACTGCTGGAATTTGTCAGGATCTTACTGCAATAGAGTCTAGAGATACTTCTCATAGACTCTATTGCCGTACTAAATAATAATTGCCTTTTTTTATAAAAAAAGTTTTTTTTTATAAACCTTTTTATAGGTTTATAAAAGCCTATAAAAAGATATAGGTTTTTACTCTCCTCGTCAGCTTTTCATCGCACATAAACATAACATTAACAACTTTACTCTCTCTCGGGTAAGTCATTCATGTACTGCCATTCATGTACTATTCCTAACATATGTAAGTCATATGTTAGGAATATCAAAGACATAGGACCTGAGGTTTGTGGGACCCTGAAAGCCACAGTCTCTCATGACTGTGACCCTTTGTTTCCTATCCATGAGGCACTCCGTTATCGCGTTCGATGTCTTGGATGCCAGTTATCCAAGGTTAACTCTCCATGTTGTACAGTTGCCTTTTGTGTAGAATAGTGTCAGATGCTCTTTGATGAGTCTAGGAAAATGTAATATACCCAACTTTCATTATCTTGTCGTATTTTGGCGAGTCTGGCGGAGAACTCTGTCAAGGTTGTCAGCCAAGACATTCCTTCTCGGTCAACGGAGAAGATACCAGAAAATGGGGAACTTTATCATGTCCCCGCTCACTTCGTCCCGTGAAGCAGCCTGTCGCCCTGCTGTCTGTCGCACCCTGCTGTCTGTCGCACCCTGCTGTCTGTCGCACCCTGCTGTCTGTCGCACCCTGCTGTCTGTCGCACCCTGCTGTCTGTTGCACCCTGACACAACCTGTCTCTACTGACAGTGGTCCCACTGAGGCAGTGGCCCCACTGAGGCAGTGGTCAAGTGGTGGTCAGTAGAGGGTGTGCCAAGAGCTAGGAGCTGCAGGTGGCACAACACCTACACCAAGCACAGAGACAGGTGCAAGCGGCCACCCACCCAACCATCCATTCCAACATGACGAAGTGACCTATTGATCATTTCCAGCGGCACATTCATCAGCGCAGTCGGCTTATAAAAGAAGGGTCTCGGGTTCGATTCCCAGGCAAAGCGAGACATATGGGCTCGTTTTCGTACATCTGCTGCCTCTCTTCACCTACCAGTAAATATATACGTGGGAATTAAGCGACTGTTGTTCATACAAGGGGAAGGTGGGTCACGGACCTCGGGGGGACTTCTTTAAACCATACAGGTTCCTGTCCCCCGATTTACGGGCTCACCATAGCCCGTGCTACATGGACACTTCGTCCTAAGTAGCTAAATCTAAAACAACGAAATGTTCCCCCGACAAGATTAACAACACTGAGACGGTTGGGCCTCCGTTAAGTTCAGACTTTACTACAACTCGTGCTCCTAACAGAGCGTCGCACTTTAACGTATATTCTACCCAAGGCCCTAAATCGTCGCATTAGAAAATGGTAGCGACTCGCGAAATTGACATGTTCTCCCGTTTTCTGTTTTGGGTCCTCAGGGGCCAGATTCACGAAGCAGTTACGCAAGTACCTACGAACGTGTACATCTTTCCTCAATCTTTGACGGCTTTGGTTACATTTATTAAACAGTTTACAAGCCTGAAAACTTGCCAATCAACTGTTGTTATTGTTATAAACAGTCTCCTGGTGCTTCGGAGCTCATTAACTGTTTAATAATTGTAAACAAAGTCGCCAAAGATTGAGAAAAGATGTACTGGTTCGTAAGTGCTTGCGTAACTTCTTCGTGAATCTAGCCCCTGGTTGGTTAGGATAAGGGCGTTTTAGTACGACAGTTTCTTGACGTTGGTAAAAATTAGGATGAGTAGCTGGTTAATTAAGGCCGCCATAATAACTGACTGACCAACCAGCAAGTATACTGTCGTCCTTAACTTAATCCAAGACTAAACCAAACGTTAAACTTTCAACACTTCTCTAAATGCTTCGCTCACGTACTACAAATACAAATAATTGTCAACAGAACCATAGTACCCAAAAACCTTCCCTAGGTCTAACTATAAATAAACTTAAGTCTATATATGTAACTGAAAACTCACACCCCAGAAGAGACTCGAACCCATACTGCCAGGAGCACTTTGCAACTGGTGCATAGGACCCCTTAACCACTCGACCATCACGACCAGACAAAATTATATATATATATATATATATATATATATATATATATATATATATATATATATATATATATATATATATATATATATATATATATATATAATTAAGGCGGGTTAAGGCGTACCTGTTATGCCAGTTGCTGGAAGGCTTCTGTGCTGGCTAGGGTTCGAGTCTCCTGGTGGGAAAGTGTTCTAAAGTTGTATACTTCACTCTCGTGTTTAGGAGAGTTGTGCCTTAAGCATAGACACTGTGTCTTCCCATGTTAACAGGGACTTGATGAAATAAACGTATAAATGACCCCTCACTTGCTCTAGTGCTCTTGGGAGGTGTTGATCTTTGGGGTATTTAAATACTCCGAAATTACCATCTCTTTAAGGGTCTGAGCAGGTGGTGGAGCGGGTTAAGGCGTACCTGTTATGCCAGTTGCTGGAAGGCTTCTGTGCTGGCTAGGGTTCGAGTCTCCTAGTGGGAAAGTGTTCTAAAGTTATATATATATATATATTATATATATATATATATATATATATATATATATATATATATATATATATATATATATATATATATATATATATATATATATATATATATATATATATATATATATATATGCATGAATTTCCGTCGATCTAAGACTGGAGGAAAGGCACTCGGAGCTAGCTTCACCCAACTTTTCAAGAAGACACATGGGTGGTACACGACTGCCATAGGCTAGTCAGGGTCGGCCACATTGCCACCCCCTCAAGAAATATCGGTTCTACAGCGACCCTCTGCGATTTTGATGCAGTCTGAAATCAGGGATTTAATTTCCGTAGAGATTTTGAAACGATTTTCTGAGTGTTGGCAGGTGTAGAGTGCGTGAGTGTTGGCAAGCGTAGAGTGCGTGAGTGTTGGCAGGTGTGGAGTGCGTGAGTGTTGGTAGGTGTAGAGTGCGTGAGTGTTGGCAGAT